TGCCTGTAGGAGCTGCTGTAAGGACTGTTAATTCACAAAGGGTTTCTGTGACAGGTCGGAGTAGACGGAAAGGTGATTCTTTAATGGTTTTAATGAGGCGAGAAGTGTCAGTTACTGCGCCGCCGCTGACAAATAAGTGAAATGCCTAGGGTTTTCAAGCATCTTCTCACTTTGACATTATCTGGTAAACCAACTGACAAAGAAATTGTGAACCAGAGTTCCTCATTCAGTGAATGCTCTACCCACTGGTTATCTGGAAGCCAGTACTTTGTAAATGACTTGGGTTGATTCTAGCATGGGTCTTCGGCGAGAATTCTGTTTCTGCCTTGATCCATAAAATTAGCATTTTCATCATCCGCAAAACCCTACCTAGCAACATCAAGGTTTTCTTTCACTGTTTCTAGGGCCAGATGTGCCCATGCATCTGGATCAGATGGATCACATTTTTGATGTCATCCATCACATCCTTTATCAACTGTGCATTATTTTTAAATCTCTGCATCATAATGGTCAATTGTTCGGTATAGTTTGTCAAATTCCTCTGGAAAAAATCTCTATTACATACTAGTATAACTGGTTTGTCGTTTCATAATGATAGCATCTATTTTTCAGAATAGTACAGTTTTTCTGGATTTCTGTTTGGACATCTATCATGTTGGCTGGTGTATTGTCTTCACTCGGTGGCTCCTAATAGGCAAGTAGTTCTAACAACAACCTGTCGAAATATGCAAGAGAACCTCTGATCTGAGTGAGGAATTCGTAGCAAGATCTTTCAGAATCAATGCTGATAGCTGTGACGGAGGATCTTTTGCCAGTCCAGCATTCAACTTTGAAAATAAAGCTTTCTTTATGACAAGAGATATAGAATTATTGATGTGTTAAAATATTGGATGTGTTGTGGATAAAACGAGTAAAAATGGCAGTTTGATGTAAAAGTCTGACATTAAAGTATCTGCTATGTGATATTTTGATTTTCCGTTTTGTGTCAATCAAATCTTCAATTCTTTGCTAATAAAAATTGTGATATATTGTTCAATTGTGTAAGAAGAGTTTTGGATGTGATGGCTATATATACACCCAAATGTACCAAGGATGGCAATGATCAATGTATAGCAATGGAAAACCCAAAACGTCGGTGCGACCGAAACATAAAATATGACCTGCACAATGGCACTATATAATAGAGATTCTGAGAAAGTCTCATTTAATCTTACTCAGTGGTACATTGTTTAGGAGGAGTTATGGGTAAAAGATTCTTGTACCATGTTATACCTGTTGAATTTTGATATTCTCTTCTCATGCTTATTTTTGTCCTTATAAATATTTTTCCCAGTACGAACACCCGGAATATTAAATGCCCTTTTCCATCTATTAATTCAGAAAAATATATAAAAATAAATAATATTAGAGGCACTGAAATATAAACCATTTTGACATATTTTAAAGATCTTGAAAATAAAATTGGCAAAACCTGATTGCATTCTTTTCATGCCCCCGCTTGAAGGTGGTATACATGTATAGTGATAGGGGGTCCGAAATTGTGCACTAAGTAGTATTCATCTCTTATCCGCACCTTTATACCACTGAATAAAATTTAATGATACTTTGACAGAAACTTTATTACATAGTGCCATTGTGCATCTCCTATTTTACTTTTTGATCGGGCACATATTTCCGGTATCCAATTGCAAAACATAGACACCGATATTCTTTCTGTTATTGGGGATACCCATTTCTTATGTGCAAATCCTCATATACTACTGAATAAAATTTAATGACACTTTCACAGGATCTTTATTATATAGTGCCATCGTGCACCTCCTACAGATGTGTGGGTTTTGCCATAGCAGAACATTGACACTTCCACTCCAAATATAGGAGGTGCACAATGGCTCTATAATAAAGATTCTGTGTAATTCTCATTTTATATTTAGTGGACACTGCCACTCTTTCTTTAACATTTTACTCCTCCTATATCATTGAATAAAATAGTGAGGCTTTCTGAGAATCTTTATTAGACAGTGCCATTGTGCATCTCCTATTTTTTATTTTTCGATCGAGTAGATAGTTTAAATTTCCAATAGCAAAATGCCATTATACTCGTATGGGCGCGGGGTTATCATTTTGTGAGCTCAGTGCTCATAGTACCCCTAGTTTAATACAGGAATCAAATGCACAATGTACTAAAAGTTACAAAATATACACATGTAAGCGGTAGTTCAAATAATGTTGGGGTCAAACAAAAAGGCATCGAGAATCGGAATAAAAGTCACGATATGTGTATATTTAGAGACAATGTGTGTCAAGCAAGGGGAAAACATGGAATTCTTTCATAAATACAGATAGGAAATAAACTGTATTCCCCTTTTATTTATATACACTGCATGAACCAGATATTGTCTACAAATGTATTAAATCTATGAATGATCGAAGCAGTTCTTAAGACTTTCCTTAAATTAAAATATATGATTCATACCGACTTGTCACAAACATTAAAATGAATCATTGTTAGGTAACCAAACACAGTTATTTACATTTCAAAAAAATGGTTACCCTTCTTTGCAAGTACACGTATGTAAAGAAATGCTAACAAATCTTCATCTAAATTCTGACAGTTCTCGTTAACAATGGATGAGAGTACAAAAATGTAACAGAAAATAAAACGAGAAGAATAGTAATACTGGTTCCCCATAAACATAATATGTATGTGATGTTACTTTATTAGAAAATTCACATTTAAGAATAATTTTCAGTGCATAACATAACCTCTCGTTGCATCATTAAATGGGTAATGCCATTGTATTTTCCTACAGACATAATAACGCATAAAAACATCAATAAAAAAATATACAGCCCCTCCCCCCCCCCCCAAAAAAAAAAAAAACCAACATACAAATGAAGAACAAAATCGGTTAGAAATTTAAACTTTTATGATCAAATTGACTATTTCGTCCTGATTCTAGAGAAAATATGGATTTACTCCTTGTACCTGGTTGAAAAAAGGAAGGCTTTAATTTCTATGAGGGTACAAATATAAATATGCCATAATGGCCATTAGTATAAATTGAATGGAATTTATGTCAACGACCTGTTGAATTGCATGTCTGAGTAAACTGGACCAAATTTCTCTTAAATCAAAACAAAGTTCGCCATTTTCAACGATCATCAAAAGGGCATAAGCGTTTGTTAATACAAATTTTATGAGCACGGATGACGAGTTCTGAGTCGTCAGAGGACTTTTTTTTAACCGATGCGTTCTTTGCCCCAGATTTAAAAGGAAAATTCTAAATCCTACACATGTTAAAGTTTTTTTCTTTACAAAAAAGTTTTTCTTCTGAAGAAATTGAATATTTGAATGCACCAGGTTTACCGATGATTTTTGTTTATATAACTAAGGAAAATGTCTACAATCAGATAAAAAAAATTCTTTCTTTGAGGAAGAACAAACTAAACAAAAGTAATGCACAAACATTAAAATAATAATTGAGTTCTTTTAACAATTGATCACAAATTTAAATGATTTACATAAGGTGGCAGAGTAGGAAAGACATTCTCAGGAAACTCACAGCTTTACCTCTTATTTACCTGTAATTTCAGGTCTACAAGTATTCTTGCTTTTGTCGTAGAGCCCGAACCATCGCATTCTTGTATATACTCAGTACACCTATGCATATTGTTAATGATTTTTATGCGTAACTGCATGGAAAAAAAAGAATGCCCATAGAATGTTATTGATAAAGAAGATTCTTTCTCATAGATTTTAAAACAAAAAAAAAAAAAAAAAAAAAAAAAAAAAAAAAAAAAACAAACAAACAAACAAACAAACAAACAAACACCCCCCCCCCCAAAAAAAAAAAAAACAACCAAAAACAAAACAAAACAAAACAAAACAAAAAAAAATTTATTGTGAAATAGCTATGAATTTTAATTCTGGAATATGATAAATTTTATATAAGATTTTCTTTTCGTTTATTGTACTGCTATAAAACTCAAAAAATTGAATTCCTGTTTGTATTTGTCCTAAAAATGAAAAAAAGGAAATGTTAATATGCAAAATAAATCAAAGATTGATTAAAAAAGAAAGAAAAAAAAACACATTTAACTTAATATCTCTTACTTAGTTTCCTTTTTGTGACAATTTTCTTTAGGTTTAAGAACTAACCATTAACTTAAATGTTGTATTTATTAGTCGACGAACAAACATACTAAATGTGCATTTTGTTAATGATCATAGCAAAATTTCATATAGACAGATTTATTTGTGTAATACCATTGTATTGCAATATTTTTATTTGTTGTTTATTTCGTTATGTTTTATTTGTTTGGTTTGTATTTATGTTTATTCTTTCTTTTTTCTTTGCATTTTACTTTTTTTCAAAACATGGGAATTACATGAGAATACAGTACGATGCTAAGATTTTCCACAAAAAACTTGTAGTTTGAAACTAATTCGGTCAAGGGTTTATGTGGAGCGGAGCGGATCAAAAAACATTGACTTGGGAAGATGGAAAGTAATATAAGCTTAAATTTAAATTCGTTCCATAACAATTTACACAATTATAAGTGCATGCAGTATTGTCCAAGAATCTATGAGAGATGGGTCATTCGAGACCATGCGCGCAAATTGTGAATTAAATGATAGATGGAATTTAAGCAAGTTTTCGTCAATTTGTTATTTGCTAAATCGAACCTTTACTCAGGATTTAAAAATATAGCAATGACATGCATTATGGAAATTTCTAACATGCGGACCAAGGTACAGCATAAATAAGATCGGTACACAGAGGGCGTTCCAGTAGAGATACATATAGGATTGCATATAAAGGTATGATAATTAACAATTTTCCAGAGAAGCTTTAAAATAACGAGTAACTTTTTTTGGATTCATCTCCACTACGAAGTTTTGAAGTTTTCTTTGTGTTCTAAAAAGGACAACAAAACTACACACATGCAGAATGTTAAAGGAATAAAAACTTTGTGAAAAAGGAAGTAACTGAAAAATGCGGAGGATTACAAAATGTTTTGTAGATATTATCTTTTTACTCTGGATTGTAAAAAGGACAGGTAAGTAGCTTTAATTTCCTTTCCATCATATGCTATAAGAATTTCATTTTTTTTTCCAAATGGAATAAATAAAGATATCAGACTTAATTTTAAGTGAAAAAAAAGCCAGGACAGAATTAAGGAGTTGTAAAAATGGGAAAATACCAAACCCTTAACATTTCACTGTGGGAAGGATACTAGTAATTTGCTATCAATGAAAATAGATAGCAAAATGTCTCCATGAATGTATATTTTAAAGGTCCTTTTTTGTTATTTTATTCATTTTCATAGACATTTTCATAAATTCAGAAAAAAAACTCCACGATGTTCTTTCAAATGTTTTAACTACGGGTATATTTTAACTAAAGTAACTAGAAATGTGGATATCTTGATATGAGAATTGAAATAAAGGGTTCATTTTTCCTATTCCTATTTTTTTTAAAATCAGGTAACAAAAGGTAGAATTTCAGATTGGAATAGGTTGAAAACTTACTCAATGATGTACAAACATTATTTCACTTTAATAAAGGTGTTGATTGAGAAAAGATAAATGTGTTGTTTTTATGCGTAAATTATAATTTTTAATTGACATAACAAATAAATACAAAATTAATCTGGAATCATAAACAGTGTACCAACTTGAACAGTAAACTAAAATTAAACAAATCAGATTAAATATAAAAAAATCAGATGAAATTGTTGAAAGACTATTTTACTATCTTTTTAAAATGAATGAAACATCCTGCTCTCTCAACATATTCCAAAGAAATAGTGTATAAATTATATTTCCAAATTTCCAAATTTGACAAAATAAAAAAAAAACAATCAAACAAACAAAACCAGGTAATTCTAAGATGAAATGTAATTAAAAACTGTATTAAAAAAAAAACCTATCAAAACATCTGGCATACGGGAATATCGTAAAAGTAGACTCACGCCATTATTAAAAATGACAATTCATATTAGCTATTCCATGTTTCGTAATTCAGTACAGATCAACCTGAAGCAATATAAGATTTATTTAAGATTTTGACTTTCTTTTCAGCTGGTCAGTGTATCACTGGTACAAGTAACGCTGGAAAGAACCCAGATCCTGTAGGCCAAACGGATGCTGGCAATGGTATATGTATACAACACAATACTCAATATACAGAAACATTCGAATTCAAATAAACAAGGACGACCCAAATCAATTACAAAAAAAAAAAAAAAAGCACCAAAAAAACATTGACATCGTTCTGCAACTTCTTAATTCGACACATGATGATGAAAACTACACACACTACTACACACACACAGTTTTGATTAAAAATGGTTAAATTATACATAATAGAAACTGAATTAAAACATTCCATTTTGAAAAAAAGATTGTCTCATACATGAATTCGACTTTTTTCCTTTTTGCTAAAGTCGAAAACGTTTTGCCCACATCATTTTTAATGACTAATATTCAATGAATTTTGCATGTTACAATTTTCGTTAGATACTAAATGAAGTGCAAAAAATCTGTTAATCGCTACGCACAGAAATATCGTTTTTTATTTTATTTTTTGAATTAAAAAAATATTTATTTTTTTTAAGCGAGGACCTTTATACTGAATTCAAAAGATTTAGACTACCAAATCGATTGTTGCGGTTTTCTTTCCTCTTGGAAATTTTACGTTGGAGCGACCACAGGAACACTGTATGCCCAAGTTTGGCGACTCGAAGGAACCGACTGGAAACTGATTGGACAAAACACAATCACAGTTGGTGGTAAAATTGTAATATTTTATATAATATCTGCTTTTGTTAATTTAAAAAAGGCTATGAAACTTGTTTTAATTTACTTCTATACAGAAAAAAGAATTACTTTTATGTACCCAATAGTATTGTAACCCTGTATTTTATTTTTTCCCTCCAAAGTTACATGAGTCTATACTCGTGTGCGTTGTGCGTCGTTTGCAAACACTTTCGGCCTTTTCTCTGAATTGTCTCTGACGATTAACCGACTTAAGTATGTATGATCCATGGCTAAATGGAACATAATTGTGAATTTTATTGTCCCATTCATCTTCGCTAGCCAGGGTTTTTTTTTCCCGCTAACCCCCCCCCCCTCCCTTACGGAGAGTAGCGGATCAGAAGCCCTTGGCTAGCGAAGATGTGTCTCATCCACCTTGGGAATTTTTTCTCTACCCCTGGAAATTCAGCAGGTAAACTGACTACTTGATAATAATCAGCAGCTAGCCCTCTACCATAATTATGTTATTCATGGCTCTTGGGTGCAAGCTTCAAACCACAGTTTGGACTACTGTAGATAACCGAATTTTTGTAACACCTTATCTTTACGAGATAATTTTTATGCCCCAGTAATCGAAGATTCGGGGGACGGGGGCATATAGTTTTGATCTATCCGTCTGCCTGTTTGTCTGTTAATCTGTTTGTTTGTCCGCAAAATTTTAACCTTGCCCATAACTTTTGAATGGTTGGTGTTAGAGATATCATGTTTCACATGTGTATTGCATGTGACAAGACCTTTTTTTTTTGTTACCAACAAATTTGACCTCTTGAACTTGACCTTGGAGTTTGACCTACTTTTGCAAAAAAAAAATACTGAACTTTAACATTGTCCATAACGTTTGAACAGTGTTGTCAGAGCTTTTATATTTCATATGTGCATTTAACGTATCCAGACCTTTCTTTGGGTGCCAATTTTTTTTACCTTTCGACCTTGACCTTTGAGTTTGACCTACTTTTGATAAAACTTTAACCTTGGCCATAACTTTTGAACGGTGGGAGCTAGGACTTTAATATATCACAAGTGTATTTCTTGTGACAAGACCTGCCTTTGGGTACCAACATTTTTTTACCTCATGACCTGACCTTGGAGTTTGACCTACATTTGAAAAAAAACATTAACCTTTCCAATATCTTTTGAATGGTTGGTACTAGTACCTTCATATTTAAGATGTGTATTCCTTATGACAAGACCTTTCTTTGGGGATTAACATTTTTGAACTCTTGACCTTGACCTTCATTTGAAATATTGTCGTACGGGGGAATCAGTGTGTTTCACAGACACATCTTGTTTGTATTTATAACGAGACAAAATTTCGTGAATTTTGTAAATTGTTGTACAATTATATAGCCTTTATAAAATATAAATCATATACGGTACCAATTTTGATGCACCAGATGCGCATTTCGTCAAATTGTGTCTCTTTAGTCATGCTCATGCCGAAAGGTTGGAAATCCAAATTTTTTTGAATAAAAAAGACTTTGAAAAGCTAAAAAAAAAAGGTGCCAAAGACTGGAGCCAAATACGTCGAAGGATCAGAGCTATGCATGAGGGATATAATCCATAATTTTAAAATAAATTTTTAAATTTTACCACAACAATTAAATATATATCCGTATTTTGAAGCTAGTACCGTACTTAGCTACTGGGCTGTAGAGACCCTCGGGGACTTACAGTCCACCAGACTCAGGGTCATAATGTAAATCATAACAGTACCAATTTTGATGCACCAGATGCGCATTTCGACACATTATGTCTCTTCAGTGAATAAAAGAAATAAATGAGAGAATGAAATTTTCTCCCATTACTGCTCTTTCATTATTCCCGTACAATTATATGATTCTTTTAAGGTTCTCAAACATGTTAGTAAACACCTGTCATGAAGTTACGCAGTACTACGTAATACTGGTTTGTGATTGTTTTTTGCAGTAATAATGTAGTTTGAAGAATTTTAGTAGCTGATCTAATAAAGGAATATAAAAGCTCCATAAAGAGTGCTCGTTAGTTACCGATTTTTCTCGTTTCAGGCCTTGACAATTAAAAACTGGAGTTGGAGAAAACTCGTTAACTAACTCGCACTCGTTATGAGTCCCCTACCGGTGAAACCGGAGGACTTAAGATTTCCTCTTCGTCCTTCCGTCTGTCCAGCTGTATGTCCCACTTGGTTTTCCGTACTTTTGTCCAAACGCTTCCAAATATTGAGCTGATAAGGTTATTGGGTACTAGTATTCCTATGAAAATAAAAAGGAATGTCCAAGGAAAAACCGTTCCCAGAAATTTTTAAATATTTCTCAAAGTCCTTATAAATAACTAAAGGAAAAAGTATTTAATACACAATAACATTTATCAGTAAAAATTTAGCGTTGATCGACTAAATTATTAAATCTCAATGTATTTCTGATGTTTTTTGGATATAAGGTAATTGCATTTTCAGTATTTTCAAAGGATTCCGAAAAGTTGTATATTTCTGAAATGAAATGCATTGCATTTATTGAGTGCGTATGGGCACCCCCTCCCCCATCTCCCAAAAGTCAAAGTTTTTATCAAAAATGTCCTTACTTACGATGAAAAATGTTTTTTTTTTTTTGGTATAATATACCTGTATTTTTATTTTCAAATATCATTTGTAAAATTGAAAAAGTAATAAAAACAAAACATATGTTTAGCTGAAAAAAGTCAACCTCGAAGGAAATGAATGAAAATCATACAGGTAAATAATGATATACTATTTTTTTCTTTTTAAATGATTTCGACCAGGCGTCTGCTAGAACGACCAGGATAAGAAGGGAATTTAAGAGAGCTTTGGACCAGCTAGCTCTCCCTCTCCTCTGACATACCGGTGACGGTAGCCTAGTTGTAGAGCGTATGCTTCGTGATCGGGAGACCCGGGTTCAATTCTCGCTAGCCGCGTTTCTTCAAAAATAAGAGTCGCCCGCGTGGCGCAGTGGTTAGAGCGTCTGCTCTAGAGTCGCGAAGTAAGAGTTGATCCTTACGTCGCGGGTTCGAATCCCACTGTGGGACGTGGAGACCGGTCCTTCGGATGAGACCGTATAAACCGAGGTCCCGTGTCGCAGTAGGTGCTGGCACGAAAAAGATCCCTCACTGCTCAATGGCCGTAAGTGCCGAGTATAGGACAAAATTTGCAGCTCTCCACCGGCAAATGGTGGCGTCTCCATATGAGTGAAAAATTCTCGAAAGGGACGTTAAACAACATACAATCAATCAATCAATCAAACCTAAGACGTAAACATAGATAGTGACCGTTCCTTCGCCAAGTGCTCGGCACTAGAAGTGAAAGTCACGGGTCTTTCGGATAAGACCTTAACAACCGAGATCCCTTGTCACGGTAGGCATTGGCACGATGAAGAACGCTTTTTGCTCAATGGCCCTGGGTGCCTAGTAGAGGTCTAATTTCGAAGCCCCTTCACCGAATATGGTGACGTTTCTTTATTAGTGAAAAATTCTCGAATGGGACGTAAAACAACATACAATCAATCAATAAATCTAACTCTGACACCAACAATTAATCGTTCACGTTTAGTCAACATTGATCAGAAAACTACTAACCGGAGGGGGGCTGTACAATTTCAGTTCTTAATTCTGTCTGTCTACAGCTTTCTCTCTGTCCCTTTCTGTCAGTCAGTGTCTGTCTATATATAGCTTTCTTTCTTTGCCTCTCTGTCAGTTAGTCTGTCCTTCTTGGATTTCTTGACTTTTTTCCTTTATAGGCTTGCAGATATTGAGCTGATTTTTGATAAGCAAGTCTAGTTTCATTATACAGATCTGGTTTCCATTTCGTTTGCATCGATGATTTTTGATGGAATTTTAAAGGCCCATCCTTGTTTAATACACATGTATTGCTTAACCAGTACTCTCAGAATAATTGTTGAACTTGTTAAACTTGGTTAAGGTAATTACTGTGGTGGCGCTTCCTAATTTTCCTAGACATGTATTTAATAAAAATTAGTTGAAAGATCACTTGTAAAATGATATTAGTCATACCCAGTCAAATGGTAGGAAATGGGGGGTGAGTTAGTGGATTTGCGCGGTTTTCTGTTTTTCTGTCACCAAATCACGTATGGATCATAACTCCTGAACTCTTGTTGGAAAGGATTACGGTCTTTAATCAAGATCACATCTCAAAATGAATAAATAAATAAATAAATAAATAAATAAATAAATAAATAAATAAATAAATAAATAAATAAATAAATAAATAAATAAATAAATAAATAAATAAATAAATAAATAAACTTCATAACGGTCCAAAACTTAATGTGTTGCTTTCATGTGCCGTTCCATGCATGTTTGCCTTGTGTATGACAAAAGTTTTATATAAAATTAATTATCATCAATACGGACTTAACTTGGTCAATTCCGTAAATGTGATATGAAACAATTGGAAATTAAATATAAGTTGAATAATCCTACTTGAATGCAAAATTAATCAAGTGTGACGTAAAAAACGCCGTCCAACGTCTCACCACCAAGTTCAAAATTTTAAAGATGGGTACAACATCTTATTTCTGTACTACTCAGCAAAAAAATTTGAAATGTTTGACATTTAGAGCAAAGATATATAAAAGAAACCATTTTTAAAGGTTTAAGGAAAAGGTTTTTCATTATATTGATGATTATTCTCATTGATTACGGATATATTAATTCAAAGGCATGTCATGACCTTAAGTGATGGACAGGGATGCCATCGGAGAAGGGGAGACATCTGTTCTTGTCTTAAATACATATGCATGTACATAACCACAGTTTTTAGTGATCACTCGTATTTTTGATCTAATCTTTCCTTTCTTATCTTGTAGTTTCAGATTCAAACACGCTTAAAACAGTAGCTATCGATTCTTCATCCCAAATACCAGTACTTTCAGGAGATTATATAGGATTGTAAGATATCAATTGACATTTTTACTTTTCATGTAATATTTTTGGAACAATCACTTGTAAATGTATATTTCTTTGACTGTCTTGTTATTCTTAATTTAGCAAATCTTCGGCCGGAACAATCCCCATGTTTCATAAGACTAACAATGGGGTGGGAAGCGACAATGAAGATGTACTCTATTCCGACACGGCAGCATCCACCGTCAACAGTGTAGTAACGGCTGCCTCCTTTACTCAGTATGTAGAAAGAAACATGGAGTTTAGCATTTTGGCGGATTTGGTTCCCGGTACGTAATCCATTTAATGGCTCTGTTAATAAAATAAAAAAACCCCAAACAAACTGTTATTTACAAATAAATGAAGAGTAATAACCTACTTAAAGGTTTAATCCACGACAAAAACATAAGGTAGGCTGCATCAAAAATAGCGTACATGGCGATGGTATACTTTTAGCTTGTTTTACGTTTCATTTTAATTGTCATACGACAGGTAAGAGAAAAGAGTTAATTATATATTTGAGTACCTCTTGAATAACTCACTACTAGTATACTGGTGACTTAAAATTTTTATGTTCTAAACGATTGTTGGTCATTTAATAGAAATGCAAAATAGAGCTGTCAGCAAAGATTTATGTATACATGTGTTTTTTTAAGGAAACACACCTAGCTTCGGGGCTTCACCAACGTCTTCGTCCGTTACTGACGACACGGCCATTGGTACAGTAATTGCCACAGTGCTTGCTACAGACGCTGATACATTAGACACCCTTAACTTACAGTGGACTGGCACGACTCCGGCTGCCAACGCCGGTGTGTTCAGTTACAACAACGTTTCAGGTAAACAGACCAGAGCATTAAGATCATTAATTTCCTTTCCTGTTCTTGGATAAATTCTTTCGGATTTCGAAAGCATTTTCCTTTCTTTTCTAAATATGTGTATTAGAATGTACTGTTTTTATTATGACTTAAAGGTGCCTTGACGACGACTGGTCAGTTGCCCATTGGAGACACAGACCTTACATTTACCGCAACAGACCTGTGTGGGAACACTGTCACGCATGCCTTCAAACTTACGGTTACCAATTATGTACGTTCAACATTTTCTCCAACATTTAACGTGCAAATTTTATGTATGCACATGTACTCATATTTCATGGCAACTCTTAAAATTTCTTTCAGCCACCAGTGTTTCAGAATCTCCCAGCTACTACAACTGTTAGTGAAGACATTGACGTGGAGACTCAGTTGAAAATCCTTACAGTTACTGATGCTTCATTGGCTGACACAATCACGTGTACCATTAACAATATCAATCCGACATTCGGAGATTTGTATCTGCGATATGTTACCGGAACCTCTGGTAAAAATCTGAAAATTTCACGGCTAAACATTTTTTAATGTTACAAAAGAGTATATACTTTATGGATAGATGAACAATCAGAAGATTCATCCAAATGATATGGCATATTATAACTACTTATTAAAATAAATTCACGATTAAAAATCATTTTTAGTATTTTTTTTCCTGCTTCAAATAGATTATGCCGTGTATTTGAGAGCAAACGCTGCCCTTGATTACGACACGACTCGTCAGTACGACATCCAAATCGACTGTACCGACTCTAAAGTCACGGTCTCCGAAACGTTTACCGTATTCGTCACTAGGAACCAACAGCCAACTATAACAAACCTCCAGACTGGTGAGTGGATATGTATAACTAATTACATTTAACTATTGTGAACTTACCTGCTGGTTAATAAATAGCTACCAATCGACAATAACAAACCTCCCTATTTGTAAGTATATTGTATGTCTACAGTGTAACGGTCGACTATAGCTAAACCTCTTGGCAGTGCACAAGCTAACAAACCGCCTACGACAAAATTCCTACTATAGCTTAACAACCAATTATAATGAAATGTATGGAGATAACGAACAGCATTCAAGCTCAAAAGTCCATTAAACAATACAAATTTTGGAGCAGAGCAAACACGAACCTTTAAAACATCAGAGGTGGGATCAGGTATCATGGAGGAGTGAGCATTCCCTGCCGACCGGTCGCACCCGCCGTGTGCTCCTTGTCATGATCGGGAAATAACGGAAAAATCCGTCGACAATTCAGTGTGTAAATAATGGCCTAACAATTAGTATGAAAAATTTCAGTCAGCTTTTGACTTAATGATAAATTGTATTTGCTGACAAGGTCATTGTATCGACCATAAAACTTACGAAATGACGACTTTAAACGAGACTGTTGATATTCTTGTTTCATCAACTTGTTTGTCAATAACTTACCTCGTTTTAGAAATTGTGCATACGTAGCGCATGCTCTTGCGTATCGAAACAACTGAGAGATATAACCCCATATGCAGATGATGAAGGTATATTGCTGCATAAGTAAGGGAAGTTGACGATTGAAAAGTTAAAGTCATCACGTTTATCATAAAACTTGGTTGTTAGATTACCATTAACGTCTTTTTCTAGTAAAATATCCAAATATGAAACAGATGTGTCAGATTCTGTGATGTCTTTTATTTCAAGCTCACTGGGGTATATCGTGTCGACATACGAATGGAAATAACCATTGTTAATTGACAGTACGTCGTCGAAGTATCTAAATGTCGAATTGAAAGTCACAGCAAGTGTTTTCTTCTTTTCACGTACAAGATTTTGAACAAATTCTGCTTCATATGAATACAAAAATAGGTCTGCTAATAACGGGGCGCAATTGTTACCCATGGGAATTCCAATAGATTGTTGGAAGACCTGTTGGAAGATCTTATCTTACCTATAACTAACCTTTCTTCTGATGAAAGCATTTAAAAAATAATTAAAATGAAAAATAAATAGCAAAATGGATAATTTACAAATGTATCTGCAGTTATCATTCCTTTACTCAATTTATTCCTTTAACTTTTTATGAGATAAATAAATAGAAATTCCTCACAAGTGAACATGTCTTTCACCTTAAAGCCCAGAGGGAACATATAATCTTGTGTATTTATAATTGGGATAAAAATCATAAAAACGGAGGTGTTAAGATTAGGGATAATTGAAAAAAAAAATGAATCAAGAACTATAATTAAAACGTTTATTCTAAATGGAAGTGATAAGAATAAATTGATTATATTGTAGAAAAAATAATGTCACTTCGTCGTTTACAGGAACAAATTCGATTGAAATTCCGGGATCCACAACAGCTATTGGTACTAATATATTCACAGTGACCTCTACTGACCCGGAGAATGACCAGCTTTATTATAACATGACCTGTACTCCTGCATGCCCATTTAAAATATATGACTGTATGTAGTCGTTATAAACTAGTATGTAAATTTCATCGCAGTGTATTAAATTTTCACAAATTTCTTCTGTAATGAAAAAGCGAAAATATAACTGGAGCAAAGAAGACACTACAATAGATAATTAGCTTCTTAAGAAATATAAACCATGTCAGATGAGAATAATGACATTGTTGAATGTGGTTATATTTATTTGTTTTTGGAGATTTTTGCTTATTTTTGTTAAGCTGGAAATATTCTTGTGGAGAGCAGCTTGGCCAGTCTGACGGAGACAGCGTACGATTTGTTTATCTACGTTTACGACGGCAATACCTTGGTTGGACCAAGAAGTCTTACAGTCAAAATATCAGGTTTGGAATTTTTGTGAAAATTTTGATTGACTTTTTTGTTGACTTTCTTTCAACTGTATTTTAAAATAGTAATCTTGAAATAAATAGGGCTTTATTGAAAGAAACCAGAAGCCTCTGTTGAGACTATAGCTCTACTGGTTTTTACTGAACCAAAGTAGAAAAAGTAGCACTTGGACTTGAAACTATGGCAACAGAAATAAATAAATTAATGATCCTTGGTTTATTATCTTTCCGAGTCAAGCTTAATTGCAAATTGCACAAAAACTGTAGTGGAAGTAACGTTTTGAAAGAAGTTCACAGAATTTTCTATTTTAGTAACCAAGGCAACACTTCAACGAAATCAAAAACCGATATACAGGATTATGAATCTTAATATAGTCTTCTTGTTAACCAAGTTATGTAGAAATCGGACTGAAACTGTAGGAGGAGTAGCATTTTGAAAGAATTTCACTGAAATTTCTATTTTTTTTGTAACCATGGCAACACTGTTTAATAAATCAGATAAGGAGGATTTCATTGAAATCCAAAAACCGATAAACAGAATTATGTATCTAAGTGTAGTGACTGTCTACTTGTGTATCAGGTTATACTGCAATCAAACTTAAAATGTATAAGGAGTAGATTTTAAAAGATTTTCATAGAAATTTCTAATTTTAGTAAATGGCAACACCGTTCATTGAAATCCAAAAACCGATACACAGAATTATGTATCTTGGTGTTGTCTACTTGTGTACCAAGTTATATTGAAATTAAAGTAATACTGTGGGAGGAGTAGCGTTTGAAAGAATTTCCCAGAAATTTCTTTTTTTAGTTACCATGGCAACATCATTCATTGAAATAAAAAAACGATAAATAGACTCATGTACCTTAGTGTAGTCTACTTGTGTGCCAAGTTATATTGAAATCGAACTAAAACTGTAGAAGTAGCGTTTTAAAAATTATTTACAGACAAACAGACAGCTATACAGACGGACAGACACTCACTATCGCATAAACTCTTCAGGTCTCTGACCAGTAGAGCTAGAAAATTAACATAGAAAAATAAACCCTGGTTAAATCCTTTCTGTTGTTTAAAAATATGTTTACATGTATATAGTTTTGAAAACTCTTTTATGGTTTTAACTGTGATTATCATGTTCAATTCTCAAAGACTTATTTGTTCAATTTTCATTCCAGATATCAATACAGCGCCAAATATCACCAATCTACCCTCTAGCATAGTAGTAGCAGAAAACACAGCCCAGCTGAGCACTCTCTACACTCTAGAAAAGTCTGACGTCAACAGTCTTGACAGTCATACGTGGACGTATTCGGTTAGCTCTGGTGGATCGACCTATTTTACCGTAGACAGTTGTACGTTTCCTCAGTTTTTCAATATTCTTCACTAAAGTCTAATATTTTGTAGTTTGCCTTTGATTATTGTTATACAAAAATTAAAATACTGCCTTTTCTAATTTTTGAGTTTATATTCATTCATATAAATTCAAAAATTTGAACACGATAACAACGTCAAATTTCGTAGGCTGAACGTAATGATATGCTGTAATACTTTAAAACAAAGGAAGATATCGACGTATCTTTTTTTTCATTTAAATACACTCACATATTTATAGCAGATAAAAGCTTCTTCAAAAAGAATTGATATGATCTTTTATGATGAGCAAGAAGGTAAAAGATATCACTATTGGTCATGAATATATATTGATCATGAGTATATTGGTCATGAAGGTATCTATATGTAAAGTTTCAGCTTGTTATCTTAAAGAGTTTATTCATTGACCAAATAATACGAAATAATGACCAAAAAAAAAAAAAAAAAATAAAATAAAATAAAATAAATTTGTCGTTTAAAGAAAAATTGAAGAAACTTTCATTACTTGACAGTTATATTTCTATTTGTTACTGTATTAGTTGATTTTTTGAGAAGGGACACTTTTCTCTCATTAAAAAAGGTATATTTTTTTTTAAAGACGTAGCATTGAATATTTAGAATTCTTAAATCAAAAGAATAATAAATGACATATAATGGTTTTTAAAACAAATTATAATTCAGTATAATTAGTATGATGAGTACTAAATTAAATTGAATTAAATTTATATTAGCGGGCGTTGTGAAGACTACTTCAACCAACATCAATTACGAAACTATCACTCCAAAGACATTTTACTTAACGGCTTATGTTTCCGATGGGAAAGCTTCTGCAAGCGGTACTCTTACAATTGACATCTCCAATTTGAACGAGGCGCCATCTTTCTCGAAATCAACGTACTCCGTAACAGGAAACGAAGGAGGTGTAAGTTCTATGACAAAAGCATGTATTTAATCAAATTAATTCACTATTTGATATTGATGCAAAGTAATAAAAATAATAATAAAACTGAAAAAGAGAAAGAAAAACACACTTCTATGACATAGCTTCTGTGAAAATTTGCTTTGTTCTTTAAAAGTACCATAACATTGTTCTTAATCAATTCACAGGCAGGTGATTCAATTGGAACGCCAGCATTCGCTGTAACAGATCCCGAGGGTGATACAATTACATATACGCAAGACTGTCCACAATTCACCATGAATCCTTCATCAGGAGCGTTAACCTTTACTAGTCAGTACGATATAGACTCCGGACTTCCTGCTAGTGTGACTTGTACCGTCACTGCTTCCGACGGAAGTCTCACCGACACTGCCACTCTCGTGGTCAATATCAACAACATCAACGACAACGATCCTACATTCGCCAGCAGCGCCTACTCTTTTTTTGTACCGTCAACCTCCAGTGTCGGAACAGTTATTGCTGCTCTACCAGCAACAGATGGAGATATTGAGAGCTTTGGTATGAAATATCAGATTTACTTAAACAGGGGGCAGATCTGATATTACTAATTTCTATATCTTGTGTCAAAAGTTTTTGACCATGTTTTAGCTCTTCCGAGCAAAAAGCTAATCCGTGTGAGATTTTCCTGATTAAAAATTGTCCAGCATCTGTCTCTCCTCTGTTGTCTGTAATTTTTTTTCATTTTCAAACCCCACCTGGTCATTTACAGGCAAATTTGCCAGAGAATCCTTGTGTAAAGTAGAATTAATTTGCTCATTGATGACCAGGATTATAGGGATGAAAATACTTGTCAGACAAGATTCAAGAGTGACGTTCAAGGCCATGAGAAGGTCAAAGTCAAAAGGAAGGTCAAGAACAGAAAAAAATTATGACGCAGTAGAGTAGCTTTCACCAATTTGTATTAGTGTATTAAGTTTGATGTAAATTAGGTACAGTTTCTTCTGAACTGTGCTAAATGCAAAACAATTAAAAGTAAGGTAAGAAATCTTTAAAAAAAAAAAAAACGACAAGTCAAACTTTCGTGAAAGTTTCCTTATGTAGTGTAAATTCACATTTGTTTAAAGTATGGCTCTTAGAACAAGGTTGGGGAGCAGCAAGGGGGTGGGGTGGGGTAAAATTGTACATGCAAATATATCAGAAAAATCGCAGTTCATTCAAACATGGTCCCTCGGTTTAGGATAAGCCACAATAATGGTCAAAGGTTTTTATTTGAAAAATGATAGAACGTAGATTCAAGTTCGTTGGGCCAAAATTGATGAACAAAGTTTAGTATGGAATTATTCCAGTTTTAACATTGAAGAACAAAAATGCCAAAACAAATTTTAAGTTGGTTTTAAAACTCAATATATACTGTTAATAGATTTTTTAGAAAATATAAATGACCCCGAATGTGCTTCATTTTATAAACATGTACACGTTTCAGGAAGACAAAGGTGAATCGAGTGAACATTGTGGCCCATGAGTTTCCTGGTGTCATATTTCCATGTTCATATTTGGGTTCTTTGTATACATGTTGATGAAAAGCAAACTTGAAAAATTGATTAAAGCTTGAATCTGACTTAAAAAAAATAATCTTCTGTATCAATGAAAGGGAATAATGTAATAACGTAAATAATTTATTTTAGGGGAGATAACATACACTATCGACCAAACCTCAACTGGAGGTACATACTTTGGAATGAAATACAACGGAGAACTCTTTGTTGCGTCTGATTTATCTCCATTTGCGGCGGGAGATACAAAGGCCATTATCATAACAGCCACAGACGGAGGCGGGAAAACAGACACGATGACCGTTACTATAGTGATACCCGGCACTACCACTGTTGCTGTCTCCAGTACCACCGACAGGTACATGACGTTTTTCGAGGACACACGTAACGTGGCCTGGTTCGTCGCCTCCATGGCTGTTGCAGCAGGATTGTTGATTCTGATCTCAACATTTATCGTTAGGTATGGGGATTTCTCCTGGATACCAAGGTTATGTGAAAAATTAGCCAAGAAATGTAAAAGGAAGCGACGATTTAAAATAAGGTAGGTTTTGTTACAAACAAATACCAGCCTTAACACAGCTCAACTCATATTCTTCGATATATAAATGTAAAGGTATGAATTCATGTTTTGTATCTATTTTCAGAAGGGAACCTACAGAAATATCTTATGTCGAGCCATCACGTAAGTAACTCAAACAATATTGTTCCTGAAAAAATTGAATTTAAACCAACCATTTTCAAAATTATTTTAATCATTTAATTTTTCAGGAGTTCGAACACCAGCTTCTTTTACAACTTGGGATGCTTGGAAAATGAACGATCACACGTTTAATTAATCCACTGTACCACCAATCTACAGAATGTAACAGTATTATTTTCAAAACATTTCAGTGCTATAACACTGTATTCTGACATATTTGTTGATGTTTTTATTATTGTTGACATAATTGCAGTATCCCATTTATTGTTTTGTATATTTTTTCATAGTATTTTTTAAAAATGTTTATTTATTGTCACCAATAAAAGAAACGAATTTTAGGAGAAAACTTACAACCTGTTCAGAAAACACAGACACTCATTTAGCAAACAAAGCTTTATACAGTTTTAAAACGTCCAAAAGCTCTTTTTGTACTTTGCCGGCATCAATGAATAAAACAATTTTTTTGTGATTGGTCCATCGGAATGTTCAAAATTTATTGGTATATGATTTTATGTACATATCAATGAAATACAAACTGGCTGTCATCAGGTATTTATACATGAGCTACTTTGGTGGAGGGACGTTTTCTTTAAATGATCCCACGAGATTTCCAGCTGGTCTATAACTTGCTACAACAATGACTTTTCCTCCCGAGGTTTTGGCTTTTCCAACCCCCATTTCTTTACTTCCTTTCCAAATCATTTGTGTAAAATGACCTAAAATGAAGAAAATTGTTTGAGAATTCAAATTATAATTGAAAGGCACAATATTATGAGGTGCGCGCATTGTCAAGCAAATGGTCTTTTCTTCAAAAATTTACGGTAGGGGAAAATGGGAGGAGAATTTTTTTTTGCCTCACCTGACCCGAGGGATCTTGGTTCGTTGTTGAAATCATGTTTACTGATCTCGCTGTACCATTGATCACAAGCTTCCTTTCCTGAAACAAAACAGAAGTATATTTACTTATATGAACACGTCTTTATCTTAAATCAAGGATTTTCTAATGCTACATCAACTAAAATTAGAACAAACTTTTAACAATAAAGAAGCCAAAATTAATTTCACTTAAAACTAAAGCTTGTCAATAGTAGTATCTAAGAATCATATTTATTGGGATTTTCGAGACAGATTAAAATAAATCTTTCTGTACCTGAGTAATCTCCCCCTGAGGAGGACCATTTACAAGCGATATTTTCCCCAAGACGCTCTCCTTTGTGCATGCAATCGCTGTGTTGAAAAGAATTGGTGGCAGCTAAATGTTCCGCCCACTTCTGAGCAAATGCACTTAGATCCTAAAGACAAAATAAATTGGAAACATTTTGAAAGTGGGCGTAAAATCCTTAATTTTTAGACTTGGATTTCGTATCTTTTAAATGTGTCATGTAATATTCAACAGAGATTTTTTTTAATTTCCAAAGCATCTATCGTGCTGACTGTTACTCGCAGTCAATGCATACTGATGTATGGTAAATTCAACCGTAGTTAGTTTGCAAAAGAATTGATAAAATTCAATCCGTATAATCACTGAAAATGAAAACTGACAATACATTGACCATTTTAACCAACTTCTCAATTGAGCCATCCTCCAAATGTTGCCAATTAATCTTTTTTCTTGGAGTATAATTTTTTTTCAAGTTGTCTTCCCCGAGATTAGGAAATAATTGTTTTTCCCTGCGTTTGGTACAAGTGTCACTTAATTTCTTTCGCATACAGAAAGAGACATACCTTTGCATGGCTGAGAGTTGGAACTCCGTGCTTTTTTCTGTACTTGTTATGAACCTTAACACATTCGTCTATGAACTCTTTGATAGACTGTGGTTTCTTGGCCCTCTCCTGAGATGACCCTGAGCTGGAACTGGACGAATCTCTCTTCTTATCCTTGCCTTTGAAAAACTGTGAACAACAGCAACCCATTTTTTAATTTGAAAATTTTTAACAACCCTCACTTTTTGCATCAAATCACAGTTTTCAGGAGATGCCAAAAATTTCCCTGATCCTTGTGAAATTGTACACTAAATAGACGATGTGAAACGAGCTGTAAGATATCAGATGAAATCACGTGGAAAGGATTTTTTATCAACAGCTTTCACTATAAAGTGCAGCCATAGCACAGCCTTGATTTGACGAAATTGTCAATAAGAGTATGTTCATGTAATACACAGTAGGTGATGTATATTACATACGCGACGCCACAGAATGATGATTATATATCATGGTAGCTTTGTCTTAATGTTGACAATATATCACATTAACAAAGAGAAAGTCTGATTTTGAAGAAGACGATGCCTAGTATATATATGTCGGCTTAAGCTAGTGATCTATGGGTGTAAATTTATTTTGATCACCCCCAAGATTAAAGAGGTTATGTTATCTGTAATCTTTAAGGCTGTAAATGAAGTGAAAAACTTTCAACACTTGCTGTATCTGTCATCAAACAGACAAAATCTACCAGGCTTCTATTTATGAGTCATGTTTCTATAGAAGAAATATAGAGATGAGAAGGTAGCATATAACATGTGTTCCCTGTTATCTATGTTACACAAATTAATAACCTTTCACATGAATTTTTGTTTGATAAACAATAAATATTTCTGCTTTGTTTTCCTAGAAATTTAATATATAACAGTTTTAACAAAATGAGTCCTACGTCAATTTAAAGAAAAAAATCTTTTAAATTAAGCATACATCATCAAAAACAAAGTAATCGTGTGAAATTTTTCTACATGAAAAAAAGTCTTTTTTAATAAAATTGAAAATGAATTAGAAAAGTGAAATACACTTGTTTCATTATTAAGAAAAATCTACGCTTAAAACACGAATACCAGCTTGCAGTCTGGCATTCATTTTCGTTGCAATGATCCATCATATTTGGTTCAAGGTTAGCGGCTTCATTATTGACGGATAGTAACATTCTGTAAATGCCTATATAGTCTAGTGGGAAACAATTAAATGATTATTTACGCATACAGTCTACAAATACGTACACCCTATATGTAATTATTGAAGGTGTCTGACAATTCTTATGAAAAGAATTAAAAAAAAATCTTTCGAAGATGTCTTGAATGTCGAAGTAAAATGAGATGAGGGGTCGATGGTAAAAACAAGATGACACCAAATGCATGAATATTTGAATGTTATGCATGTATTTATGCTAAACTAATGTGCTTACAGACGAATTTTGTATCTTGGACTATAGAACGCCTCAATTGCCTTATGTGTTTAACATTCATATCGTGATACTTCTACGACTTCATTAGTTGCTAATACTTTATATACTGCCACTTCACCATTATATTCTGATACTTCTTTATATGCTGATACATTGTCTTCGTATGTTGATATTTCTTCATTACATGATGAAACTTTGACACTTAGATACTTTGCCCTTATACGATAAAAATACTCTCTTTATTATATGATGGTGCTTTGACACTGTAAACTGCTACTTTGATAATACATGTATACGCTGCTTCTTCTTCGATTAATTAATAATGCTTTATAACGTGATGATTATTTTTCATTTTCTGATAGATTTTATATTTTGTTGAAATGTTTACAACACAAACACCCGAAAGCAAGACAGGGGATAATTTCAACACTTGTAGAAAAACATGCTGTATGTATAAGAGAAACTTGGGCCAAACATGCTTATGAGCAGTTTTAAAGGGAATTAAGAAATAACGCCAGATATATCTTATAAGCTGCATAAGCTGTTTATTTAAGAATTTGAAGCCGTTAGTATTTCAATTAGAGGCGGGAAATCGGTTGTGTTAAATTTGGTAGTCTCAACCAAGCTGAATTCAAGGTAATGTATGTTTAATATTCCAAAATTGACAATAGAGAATTTGCTTGAAAATAACTTTCAAATCGCTTAATTCTCACGGGGATCGGCGTGAACTATCGCAGAACAAGTCTATTTGAACGGAATAAAAGTGAGTTTAGGAAGCCATTTAAGAGAATCTTAAAAGAGACATTGGAATTTTAAAAGAAAAATTTTTGTGGTGAAAATATTTTGAGACACATCTGATAGATTCATCATTGACTCTATTTTTAAAATAACCAATGGCATCAAATCCTTGGACAGACAACTCACAAACAATATCTGGCGTGTTTTCTTCCCTTTCAAAATATATTCATAAGCATATTTCAACCCAATTCATGATTTCGACACGCGTTGAAATGAGACTCCATCTTCCTTCCCGTAAGTTTCGATTTAAAGCATATCTCCAAAATATAAATTTAACTAGAAAATAACAATCATCACATTATAAAGCATCATCAATCACTCAGGAATTAAGAAATATCAGCATACTTGTACATGTATAATAGTATAATGTCAAAGTATCAGCCTATACTAACGACATATCAGCACAGAATGAAAAGGTGTCAACATATCATGAAGAAAATATCAGCACATAATGTCAAAGTATCGTCATATGATGAAGATGTATCAGCATACAGAGACAAGTATCAGCACACTACATGTATGTCAATACATCATATCATAAAGAAATATTAGCATGTAATGTCATAGTATCATCAAATACAGTTACAAAGACGTGTCAGCGTATATAGACAAAGTATCGGCATATAAAGAACAAGAATCATCACAACCTGAGGCAATTTAGACGTTCCATTGAACCATATCGTATATTTCACCTCTGGTGTTTTCAGAGGTTTATGTTTATGTCCTGTTCTCGTTTCGAATTGCTTACAGAATTTACGAAATTGATCACTGTTCGTTAAGTACTATATTTACCTTATTCATTTGTAACAAGTTTATTATAAAGATGCTATACTAGAAATAAATGTCAATTTATGTACGTGGAGAATGTCTAAAGATAAAAAAAAAAGATTCGTTTGTGAAAGTTGTATATAACTGACACTTTGCGCAGTATATAAAACACAAGAGCGATAACTCTGATTCAGTATACAGGGAATGGTTTGCTTGGTGATTTACAATGTTCAAATAGGTTTATGGTCATCACAAACATTTCATAGCCACTTTCAATTAAGGCTGATTTTTTAAAAAATGATAAAGAAAAATTTAATATCCTCAAGTTCTATTGAGTTAATATAATACGAAATACATCTTTCGTCTTTTAACTTATACATTGTAATTAAAATTAATTTATTTTCATTAATTTAACATTTAAGGACAATACCCACCTCTAGCATACCACTTCCTTTATCCTTTTTACTGTCCTTTTCCTTTTCCCTTCCTCTGTCTAACATTAGGGGTCCAGAAGAACTAGCTCCACCTTTTTCTCCGTGTGTAATGGTTTCTTTTCGATTGGTGACCTTAGAACCATCTGCTTTGATAATGGTTTCTTCCACTATAGTTTTCGTGATTTTGTTGGCACCACTTCCGGTGGTTTCAGTAAAAGTTCTTGTAGACTTTGCTTCCATTCTTCCACTTCTATATTTGTCGAAAGTTGTTGATTTGGAATTGCAAGCCAAAGGATTCGTTTCCCTTTTGAGGGTTGGTTCTGAAAAATTGCCATATATTGTATGCTTGGTTTTGTTTCTATTACAAGCCAAGAATTTCTTGGCTAATATGTATTTATTCATACAAAATAAGCCTCTAATTAACGATTTCATGGTTTGAGCTTTGCTTCTGTATATATGATACTTTTCAGATATATATAATCAATTTCTACTGTGTACTTTTCGACTACTATGTACTTAATCAATATAGCTATGCAATCTGCAGCCATCAGAGCGATTTTTGTCAATATGATATTATAAAGCATGTTGCAAGGAGCATGTTTGGTATACATAAACCCCATTTCGTTTTAGGTAGTTGTAAAAATGTTTAAAGTGCTACGAAATTAGGTATCTTTCTTAGTGTTTTGACATTTTTTCTAACGTTAAGTACCACCAATCCACCTTTCAAAGGAATCAATTATAATTTTGATAGCTGAAAGTTCTTCAACTTGTTTCATGGTTCTATCAAAGGGACATAACAAGTTTTACGAGAGAACGTGACCTTTGTAGGTTAGAAAATTTTTAGTCAGATCTTGGATTAGGACACGTAGTACAGACACGACAGGAAAATCAATAGTCAATAAAAATGTTAACTGTTCACAAAGCTGTTGACAAAGTATTATCACTGACGCCACCCTTAACTTGTCAACATATACTATCTCTGTTATGTAAAGGTGAAAATTTTGGGTAGAAAGGGGATGTAAGATAAAAATGAATAGACGAAATATATCGCATAGTTTCAAATTTTGAAAGATTTTATTTAAGAAAATACGTTGCCTTTTCTCTGTGTTTTCGAATTTCATTAAGCAAGAACTGATTATGCAAAATGCAAGTAATATACATATTTTTTTTTCTGATTAAAAGGAACAAATGTATTTTTTTTTTTTTATGAAAGAGCAGTAGATTTTGTTTACAATGAATTCAGTCAATCTGTGACATTGCGAAAGCCTAAAGAAGCAAATTTTAAAATTAGAATACATACGTATAAAAGAGGTTTGTATAACACACGAAAAATGGTTCAGTTGAGAAGCGGATCAGATATCAACGTTTTCTTTTTTTGGAAAATAAAAAGTAAAAAGATCCTTTAATGTGAAACGCAAAACTGAATAACAAAATGAAAATATGTGAACAAGTGCAATGCAATAAAATGAAACGTTAACCATATATCTAAGTAATATATACATATCATATTAAAAAAAATATTTCACTAAAAAAACTTTTAATATTACTGGATTACTTACGTTGTTTTTATAGTTCGTGGTGTCCTATGATGGTATTACTTGTAAGAGACTGTATCAGATACCTTATAGACAGTTTAAATCGCCGGCGGATAGCCACCGCCCTTCAGTCCCACGCAGATATTTATGATATCAAATATGGGTCAATAGAGGAAAGCCCCAACTTTATAGACTGGTAGAATACTAAGTAGATTCTAGCATTAAAAGCTCTCTCGAACAGGATAGAACAAACATTTGGATTTATAGATTTTTCAGCATACCTTATAGATTAATAAATCCGGAAAATATGAATGTTATCAATACAATTAGAGTAACCGTTTGCCAGTTTGTATGGTACTTTTACATTTCACGAACTGTTCAGTTGACACAGGATTTAAATCAACATTTATATCAAACATTTTTGATTTACTTTCTGTGACAATAAATAATTTTTATTTTGTACATTAAGTTCATTTTTCATTGAGTAGATTTAAATCTTTTTGATCAGCAAAATGGATTTTTAACCGTGAAAACATACAATGCATATATGGCAAATAATGGTGAAAATCAAACTTTTCTTGACAAGCATTAATGGGTTTTTAATGCTCTCAAAAGCGGTATAAACATCCTCCAAACTTAGACAGACCTCGATCATGTACAAACAAGGGAGTCAGCTTACTCCGGCCATTAACACAGATAACAGCCAGAATTAATCCTTTATTTAGTATTTACTAACATTCAGATCAATCCGCCAAACCAATATGTCTTCATTTGAGAAAGAAAACGGTTTTATAAGCAAAGCTTAATGCAAAGAACTAGTACTTTTTTCCGGAATTTTTTTTTTTCAGTTTAAGAAGAAAATTGCAAACATATATACATCCTGCTTTGCACTAAAAAAAGTTCGATAAATCTGCGAGATCAATATGGTTTTATTTGAAAAAGAAAATATGAGCAAAGCTCATTGCAAAGTATTTGCGTATAGTTTACTGAATATTTCCACTTTAAACAATATATAAAAAGTAGGTGAAAAAATACAAACATATACATTTTATTTTGCATAAAAGAGTAAAGAAGAAAGAGAGCGAGCAATCTTTTTTAAAAACACATTACAATTCAAGTATGCTCTAAAAATACTGTACAAAACTATATAAAGCCCAGAAAGCTATTAATGATAAAACTTGTCACATTATTTCCGTTTTTAATATGCGCACATCTGTTTACATTTGCAATCAATTTGCGACACAGCTTTTCAAATTGCTAGGTAACCTAACCCTCCATTATATACTTAATATTGCATATTCTACTACCTGTCAGTCCTTGTGGTCTTCTCAGAACACCTGTTGTTGGGGCTGGGATGTTGTCTGTAAACCTCCCAACAACGTTACCAGCAGGTCTGTAGTTCGCCACGACAATAATTTTCCCATCCTTCGAACGCGCTCTTCCGACTCCAATTTCCCTGCTTCCTCTCCAGATAACTTGTGTAAAATGTCCTTAAAAATAATGATAAAAAAGGACATTGTCACTTTTTAAACCCAGCAAAAAAACAGAAGGAGGCTTTGTAACTTTATAGTTATTTACAGCACTGTGAATACTGTCATGTTGTAAATTTTGAATCTACTACCACCCGGTAAATTCAAAATATACAACATGACAATACTTGGTCAAATCAGCGATGTATCTTCAACTAAGGTAACATTGTTCTGTGATATTAAGCATGTCATTAGCAACTATCAGTGATGTACATTTGTATTCAAAAGTAACTGATGGCAAAATGTTGCATGTTGTGAAAGAAAAATAGATATTGATATAATTAATGACTTCAGTGCGTATCAATTTAATTTCACTAATTTTTTTTCATTATAAGCGTAAAATTTTCATTTGTGGTTTGCAAAGTAAATTTATACACACACAGTATTACAACTTATGACCTATATAACTGGTATACCCGATTGCTACCGAAAGGAGAATAAATCAATGCAATAATAAAATTAGGCGCCACATTAAGAAAGTCAATACCCCCATCTGTTTAGGAACAAGGAATCGAAAATAGGTTGTGAATGTTGGGTCAATATCGCCTTGTTTACACTATAAGATATTGAGAAAGGCTTTTGAGTAGGAAGAAGGCAATGAATGAAATGACATTCCTAATACTCAAAAGGTATTGATGTTAATAATGGACAATTATCACCATCTAAGGACTAATTTTCCGTGTGATGTCTTCATTTTTGATTAAAATAGATTCCTTAATGATATCTGCATTATATCTCCAGTGTATTTCAGTTAAAACGTACAGTTACATAATATTCAACTACTCAGTATTCAGAAATCTTAATTCCTGAGATGTAAAATAGAAATTTTTCCGGGTTAAATTCTCGAAAAGAAAAAAAAAACTATTGCTGGAAATGTTTAGAAATTGTAGGAAAACAAATCACCAGTTGCAAGTTCTACATCCCGGCTTTTTAATTTTTCTAATTAAGATGGTAGCCTTATTGAAAAACTTCAAAATACAACAAAAAGTTATTATACTTCCTTTCTATATAGACCCCCAAATTTTACAACCTTTTCAGAAACAATGCTTCCTGAAAACCATGTTCATAACAAGGGGGAAATGATACAAACAATCGTTCCTTTTAAATGAATGATTGTACATAATTTCCTTTTGCTATTGCACAAACGTGTGTATCATCATTGCCTAATGTTCAGAAAAAACTCTTTAGACTAGTTTCATATATGCAATTGATGATTTGGGGTACTGTATGATATGTGTCAAAGTATCTTAAGTGCTTCTTCATATTGTTCTTTACTTCTTTGCCTCACACATTAGGAAGTCTATGATTTTCTATTTCATGTTAATAATATCCAGCTCAAATATAATTTCTATGTCGTGTCTTTCGAAGATTTATTATATTTAAGATTTTTCGTATTTTCACTTGTTTGAAATACGAATTTTATTACCTGCTGAAAGGTTCCTGGGCTCAGCGCCGAAGGTGAAGAACTTTATTTCACTATACCATTGGTCCGTAACCTCCTGACCTGGATTAATATTGATAATTTTAGCATAATTTCTTATTATAACGGTAAAATCAACTATCATTGTGTAATTTTCAGAACATTTAAGATATTACTATAAGCATAGCTGTTGTGAAATTAAAATGCCTTACGTTTTGAAATTGTTTTTCTTTTTTTAATTTAATTTAAAACCCAAACTTAAAGATAATATTAGTTAAGTCAATTTTTACAAGAAAAAAAAGTTTTAGTTAATGTTTAAAATCACATCCACTGAATGAGAGCATTAAAGAGCCAGTTGATCTTGGCCTCATATTCCAAAGAACGCTCAAACATAAATTCGTCCAATAAAATGTATCTTAATTTTATCACCAGGGTATGAGTCCTGTGGATTGGAGGACCACTTCATGGCTATGTTTTCCCCCAGCCTCTCCCCTCTTAATGAGGCGTTGCTGTGTTTGAAGGTGTTTGTTTGGGCCAGAACCTCTGCCCATCTTTGAGCTTGTGTAGATAAATCGGGCGCATGCGTCAGAGGCTGTACGCCATGTTTCTTTCTGCACTCATTGTGACTGCGGATTACCTCTTCGGTAAACTGGGAATCGCTTTTCTAGAATAAATAAATCCTCATAAAAGTAGGATATGATTATATTAATAGGAGAATAAAGTTTTGAATGCTCTCTTGTAAACTTTATAATTTTCTTCTACGAGGGAACGACACCGGTGGATGCTACAGTTCACACTATGCAATCACAGAAATATTGTTTCTGGGCTTTTTGGGTTGCATGTTTTGTGATATTATAGTGGTTAGGTGAAAACTTTGTTTAAGATTGATAAATTAAAGAAAAAATATACTGACATGTTTAAATTTTAATTAAAATTGTTGATTTTTTGATAGAAAATTAACAGATCGAGCCGAATAAATGTATATTGCGACACAAAGATATAATTGTACGAGGGTTGATCCAAAGTAATGTTACAACTAGCTGCTATAAAATCTCTAATAATGCTATGAACAAAATTTTACAAACATATACCTTTGTCTTAAAATGTCATTCAATTATATAAAATACTTCTTAAAATATTTGATAAACACAACATTAGGTTTTGTCTATCGTCGACCGGAAAGGATGCTACCGACGTCGTTATGACATTACTTTTCGGCACTCACTCTCGATTTATCCCATCACAAATGCTTCTTTTTAATAATCTTTACTACCAATTTGCCACAAAGTGTCTTGATTTGATTTGTATTTTTTTTCAAACTTTGTCCAAATGTTATTTCTAAATTCAATTCTTTTGCCTAGATATTATGTATTGTCAGATTCAAGAGTAAGCGAGGATAAAGGCTGTCCGATCGTCCAATCACTTTCTTCTACCTCAGTTGAAATGTTGAGAAGTTTGATAACCTTACTTAATGCCAGACTTGACGTCCGAAAAATTTACCACTAACTAAGATTATAAAGATAAAAAAGTTGCCTCAAATACCATTGTGAATGGAAGTCAAAAAATGGACAGATGCTAGGAAGAAGAAAGTGCGTGGAGGATGAGGATTTTCCGTCACCTCCCGGAATCCGGTGCTACGTTTGATCTATACATGTACGCGCAACGGAATAAATACACAAATGTATTATGGAAAGGTAAAAAAAAAATTAATAAAATAGCTCAAAAGAAGACGCTCAAGCACAATTTTAGAGTGTACAAGAAATAAATGTATATGTGAGAGATTTAATAGATTTATGGATGAAATATACGGAAATAACGAACAGTATTCAAGCTCAAAAGTCCATCAAACATTACAAAATAGGAGCAGAGCAAACACGGACCTCCAAAACATCAGAGGTGGGATCAGGTGCCATGGAGGAGTGAGCCTCCCCTGTCGACCGGTCACACCCGCCGTGTGCTCCTTGTCATGATCGGGAAATAACGGAAAAATCTGTCGACAATTCAGATAACTGAAAATGAGTGCAGAACAGGAACGTCATATTCTAGCCATGAAGTGAGAGACAAGACCTATGGTTGTGTTTAATTTAATATTTTAAACAGTATTGCATATATCTGATTTACATTTTAAGGCAAAAATTAAAATAGATAGAGGTACTTATATATAAAATTTTGTTGATAACTTTGGATTATTAAAGATTTTATAGCAATTGAGACATCACTTTTGGATAAACCCTCATATGAAGAACTAGTGTTTCATACTATATATGCATGTGACTCCACACTTCAAAAACTTAGCCTTTAGTCTAAATGATTCATTTTAGAAGTACATTGTATGCATTGTTTTATTTTTTTCTTTCATGAAATACCTACACTACAACTAATACCATTAATTATAAATCCAAACCCCTACCTGACTAGAGAGCCCTGTCTGCCTGACCTGAACTCGGTAACTGGTGGAATACATTGAAAGCGAACATGAATTTTGTTTATAATGTCTTAGGTGAATTTGACAAGAAAAATTTCGGCCCACTTAAAATAAGACGGAAGTAGACAACGGGAAACTTAAATGTGTTATTAAGTCGAGGACCATTAACTTTCTATGGTAGACAACCACTGAAATATTAGAGAGATATTAGGGATGGGATATTGTAATTTTTCATATTTATCAATAGAAAAAAATGATAGATTGTCTGATGTTCCGTCATAAACACATTGTAATTTTGAATTCGCAAGGTAACAATATTCATTAAATCATTTCATTGACCATTACCATGAATTGCGTCTAGTTTTAAGAATTCTTTAATGATTTTTTTTAATTGTTTAAAATGCATGCATGCATGGTAACTGAACTTTTCTCAGTGCTACCAGAGCATTTTCTACATCTACATCTACATGTATCTATTACCTCTGAAAGAAGGAATGCAAATAATGTGTACCTATCTGTTTATTTACCTGGAAAGCACAGCGACGTTGAAGCAGAACTCCTACCTTTGTATTTCGCTTTTTTCTTTCGGAGAAAGCAGGATCCCACAACCAGGGAGGTAACTCTAGGTCTTCCTGCACGAAGCGTTTATGTCCCATGGTTCACGTCATTAATCGCTTTAAAAAAATGCAAATATATATATATATATATATATATATATATATATATATATATATATATATATATATATATATATATATATATATATATATATATATATATATATATATATATATATATATATTTATCAGTAAAATAAAATTAAGTATTGTTTACAGTAGAACACGCACCATATTTATTTGATTCAATACTTACAATATTTAATGATTGTTAAATCCTTTTGACGGATTTTTGAGAAAACTTCCATGCACATATATATCGACTCTGCCGCGGGAGTCACATTTTCCCGGGAAACGCCGGTCAGATTTACAAATTTAATTGAAAAAAAATCTCGTTAACCTGAGCATTCCTCTGGACCCATCAGGCGTGGGGGTTTTGTGTCCGTTATTTATTATACTTACCTATATAGCTATACTGCTTTAGTGCAGTGCATTCTACCGTTCAGCGCCCCCGGCAAGGACACAGTCAAAATGTGCAGTGAAAACAGGGAAAAAATATTTCATAGGATGTGTTCTTGCTTATTCAGAATAATTTAGATGTACTTAGTTTTTCCATACAATTTAATCACGAATAATGTTTGATCGTATTTTTTTTTTATATTCAATTCAATTTATTTATTGACAACACCATATAAATATAATAAAATTTAATCACGAATAATGTTTGATCGTATTTTTTTTAAAATATAATAAAATAATGCAATCGTATGAGAAGCGATGTTTCAATTCATTTTCACGAGTTGAAATGTCCTAAGTTGCCATGTCCAATAATTTTTCGCTTGAATACTGAGAGAGAGAGAGAGAGAGAGAGAGAGAGAGAGAGAGAGAGAGAGAGATTATTTAGTTCTACATATGACCTACATTTCGAACTGTAAATTAGAGTGAACTCCCTTTGGAAAACAAACGATCATGGCAAACTTTACACAGAAAGTGGTTCTCATAACAGGTACCTACAGAGTAATTGTCACGATGTTTATTAACTTCTTTTCATCATACGTATACAGTGTATTTAGACCAAGGTGGTTCTGTATATCTCTATAACCCTCTGTGTGATAGATTTGAACAATGCTGAAAGCACTAGTATCTGTTTTCTTTTCTTTTAGGTGCCAGTGCCGGTATTGGAGAGGGAGTTGCTCTACATTTTGCCTCGTTAGGTGCCCATCTTTCACTGACTGGTAGAAATAAAGAGGAACTCTCTCGAGTAGCTAAACAATGTCAAGAAAACGGACTGACAGACGAACAGGTGCGATCGAGTAATAATAAATTTTTAAAATAAATTTGACATTCATCTTTGTGGGTCTGTTTTGTATTTGAAATATCCATTTCAAGTTTTTTTTCTTCATTTTATTATAGATATTAATACAAGAAGGCGACCTTACATCTGCAGAATTTAGAAGCAAACTGCTGAAAAATACTATTGAAAAATTTAAGCGCTTAGATGTTTTGGTAAGATATTTCAGTGGAACTTTTCTTGTGCTTAAAATTAAGTAGAATAAGACTTTTTGTGGAGAAAGTAATTAGGGTTAATTCTACACTGATATCAGTTTTCTTTTTTAAGACATTTCACTCTATTAAGTTTTGTAAATTCTTATACTTTTTTTATGATTATGATTTTTACGATTTTATGTATTTTATGATTCAGAAGATCCTCGATCAAACCTGAATGTTATATGAAAGCTATTCATCCTTTTAACCCATATAATTTCAGTTCAACAGATTGCTTAAATACACTTTATGGTGAGATAATTCATACAGATGTGTAAGATTATCTCAGATTAACGAAATGATTATAAAGTATTTGTAGGAGGTTGAGACTAACAATTAAAAATTTATAAACAAAAGACGCAATATTATATAGGTTAACAACGCTGGAACAATGTACTATGCAAAAACGTCAGAAACAACAGAAGACATGTACGACACTATGATGGACACAAACACAAAATGTCACTTTTTTCTCTCCAGGGATGCCATTCCATATTTGAAAGAATCGAAAGGTAAGCTAGAATTGATATCTTATTCGTTTTCAATCTATAATATACATATTTTTAAGCATATCGGAGGATTGTGTTTCCTGTATAATCCTATTAGAAATCGCTTGAATTGCCAATATCACAATTTTTGGCGTACTTATTTTCCAAGACATTTTGAAAAAAGTTTAGAATTCACAAGAGAATGACGATTATGAATAATTTTTCATATTTTATGAAGAGATACAAATTAGATATTTGAGGAACGTGTCGTCAGACCTTAAATCAATTGTAATATATGTCTGACAAAAGATTTTATTACACGATCAAGTTTCTACGGCAACATTCTTATGATGTACAACAATACCTTGTTAAATCCATTCATTACCTGTACTTTTCTAAAAATCCCAAAATCATGGCAAGTTCTCTTCCTCTTTATAAATGACTTTTCTATTGTAGGAAACATAGTAAATATTTCAAGTATCTGCGGTCCAAAACCGGTATGTTCAGAGTCTCCCCCCTCCCCCCTCAATTTTGATGTGTACAAGGAAACGAAGAACATATACTGAGTATATATTCGCTTTACTTATCAAGAGAACTATTTTCAGATGGCGGAAGTCGCAGTATATTGTATGAGTAAAGCAGCTTTAGACATGTTCACACAATGCCTTTCTTTAGGTCAGTTTAATTTTTTAAAGACATAAAAACTGTTAATAGATCTCCTCTCTAGCAAAGTAATCTAGCAAGAAAAAAAAACGTGTTCAGAAATGATTAAATTTGAAAGGATCTTGATTATAACATTGATATTTCCAGAGTTAGCTCCATTTGGTGTTCGAGTTAATGCAGTAAAGTAAGTAAATCTCTAAGTAAATTTAAATAGTCGACTATGGATTTTATGTTGCGCGTCATTTATTTATCAGTGTTGTTATTCTTTTAAGAATGTGACAGTGATTTGTTTTTAGTCCTGGGACTGTTGTGAGCAAGATAACCAGGCGTGAACACTCGGCATATCAAGACGATGAAAAGTATCAAAGGGTAAGATGACTATGATTTCAGAACTTAGAAAAGCCAAACAATTGTAGCCTATAACCTACATTATTGTTTAAACCATTAATTCTGCTTGATGAAAAACAATTTTCATTTTATATGTATGGAGATTGAGATGTATATTTAAAAATAAATGTCAAGTTATTCAAATTTCTAATTCAAACCATGAAATGTTCTCAGTTTCTGGAAACCCAAAAATCTAAGCATCCCATTGGACGAGTTGGATTACCGGTGGATATAGCGAAGTCTGTGGCATTTTTAGCGTCTGAGGACGCTTCCTTCATCACGGGACAGATTCTATTTGTGGACGGTGGACGCCATTGTGTGTCATCTGCTGTTGCAACAAATGTTAAATAAAAATGATTAGACGTGTACCTATTTAATTATGTGACACCCGAAGCGTCATCATCTTCATCTGAATTACAAATAATAAAATTTTCAACGAAGTATTTCACTGTGAAAAGTAAAATATTTTATGGTGTTCTTGATTATTTTTATTAAATGAAATATGAAGATAACGAAAAGTTATCAAGCTTAAAAGTCCATTGAAACAATACAGATTTGGAGCAGAGCAAACACGGACGTCTTAAAACACCAGAAGTGGGATCAGATGCCATGGAGGAGTTAGCATCCCCTGTCGACCGGTCACACCCGCCGTGTGCTCCTTGTCATGATCGGGCAAACGTAAAAATCTGTAGCATTTCAGTGTAAAAATAATGGCCTAACAATTTGTATGTTAGAAATGTTCTAGTAAACCAACTGGAACACTCTTTTTAACAAAATGGAACACATGTTAACTTAAAAAAGGCCTATATGTCATAAAATGTTAAAAATACAAATGTAAAACACACAAACACACCCCCTCATATACACCCATCTCTCTCTCTCTCTCACACACATTTCATTTTCTGTTAAAGAGTTTTGGGTATCCACAATGGAGCATTACAGGCAAACATAGGGAACTTTTTCAAGAATAAGGAGTGAAAAAGAATCGAGGGCTATAAATAGATGGGCTTATCCAAATTTCATGATGACAGAAGGTGTGTGAGTTGTGTAAGTTTGAGTTTAGTCTTTTTAAGCTATCTATAGCACTTTTGAACAATGGTCACGAAGAAGAGAATCTGATGTTGGAAAAACTTATGAAGGTCTTCATTTTCCCGAAAAAAGCTTATTGACTCTGCTTCTCCCAACCTTGGATGTTTTCTTCAGATAATTTTAATGTACAAGAGTTAAGCTGAAAAACAGTTTTGGAGTACATGTACATGTCTAAAGTTTACTGACAGTAAAAGAAGATAAAAATACATCCTGAACTGGGCCGGTAAAAAACGTTGATCCTCAATAAAACTATTGCTAGTTGTAAGGGAACTGTTACAGATGTTCCCCAAACGGCTCTCCTATTTCGTTTAGATGTCCCACTCCTTCATTAAAAGTACACAAAACTTTTGTTTTGTGAAGCTACCCTTTATTTTTAAAGTTTTTCCCGAATAACAATGCAGATAAACCCTAAGGGTATTAGCCAATCAGATTTCAGGAAACTTGACATTTGGGTGAATTAAAAAAAATGACCAAACGCACATTTATCAACCCACACTAAAAATACAGTCAATGAAAATAGATTTCTATGTCTCAGCATATGTCTTTAGATAGTGTCTAAATACCTGCCAAATATCTCGTTGATATCTCAATTAACAAAAAAGTTATGCCCAAAAATGATGCTAAAATTGTCAGGAGTGCAACACCTTTTTGTGACATTTTGAAATTTCAATATTTTTTGGAGATCTGTGAAATAAAAAATAATGCTTCATGTTGAAAATAAAGTCTTTCTTGATAATATTCAAAGTATTGAGCTTTAAATGTGGACTGTTGAAACTTTTGTTTAATCAAGTTGTGGTCATGGCTGATGTTTAAAAAAATGTTATACCATGTCAGGAGTGCAACAGAAAAAATGTAGTGTTGCCAAAAAAACATTAATTGTAAAATTCTGATAGAAAATTAAGACAAAAAAGAATTTTGGAAGTGTAAAATAATAACTGATATACATTTTAAAACTTAAAAATGTTATATAAATTACAAGCAGCATTAATGAGAGTCAAGTATATGTGCATACCCAAAAATGTCAGGAGTGCAACATTTGATGTTTTGCCCCCAAGCATGAAAAAACTATTATCATTATATGATTTTCTGATTTTTATTTTGGAAAATAAAGACACAAAGACCATTTTTACCAAACAGATTTATCAATTACAGGATCTGTCTGTGCTTCAGATCCATATTTCTATGGTCAGGAGTGCAACACATTTTTTTAAAGATTCAAGTTGTGTGACGAAAAGACTTCTATTCATGCTTAGAAGTATTCATTAATTAATAATGATCTTTTTGTATAATTTAATGCTAAATTATTGACAGTTTTATTATTAAAATCCTTCCTTTTTCAATTTTATCAATTCAGATGTGACTTTATCTTTTTTGTGATTTTTTTAATGAACATTAAAATTAAACACACTAAAACATTGTCATAAAATTCAAGTAACTCCTCCTCAACTTCACTGAAACAACAGAACAAGTTCTTATGTAATTTTCACTTCACAATTCTACTTTAAAGGCCCCAATGCTTTTGGTCAGGAGTGCAACAAATATGTTAGAATTATAAATCATCAAATAAGAATAAAAATAAAGAAAAAATGATGAGTAGAATTTTTCTGGTGGGTTACTGTGTTTGTCTTCTAATAGAAAATATGCTTTAAAATATATTTTATCTTCTAAATAAACATTTAAGCTAGTTTTTTGGCATAAAATAGGGTATAATTCAAATTAAAATGCGAATTTTAAATACTTTCATCTGTTTAAATTATGAAGTATTGGACTGTAAGTATTGTATAATTTCATTACCACTTGATGTTGCCAACACTTTATGAATTTTTGTGTTCTATGGTTTTAATTTTAAATTTTACTGCAGTCAGGAGTGCAACAAAACTGCTTCATAATTACCTATGCTTTTTAACTATCTTTACTAAAAAATAAGTTGAAAAAAATGCTTGATACTATATTTGATGTTCAAAACACTATGTCTATCAACAAATTACAGAAAGTTTACAGTCAATTCAGGGAATAGTTTTCATCATTTCACATATATTTTAAATATAATTTATAGATATTACACTTTGCAAATAATCATGTTTTAAGGTCTTCAAAATATGAAAAACCTGCTGTAAACGATGAAAAATATCAACACAACAAATTGATTTACAAAGTAAGAATGGGTTATTGTGTGTTATAATTTTTAAAACAATGTTAAATAAAATACATATCAGATGTCAGGAGTGCAACATAATAATGTAACATAGGGTCACTTCAAAATCTAGTATTTTTTGTAAGAGAACTTGTATATAACAATTCTTTTTTGGCTTAGATTTAAAGAATTGACTTGAACGGACAAAAAAGTGAATTTTTGGGAATTTTATTTCTTCATATTTTTTTCATATTAAAACTTTTCAAAGCAGAATTGAAAAAATAATGTAATATAACAATCAAAAAGCCAATTTTTTGTCACATGTACAAGAGAAGATACTCATTCAAGGTCTAGATTTAATCATTTATATCCCTTTTACCATTTTGAAGCATAAAAAGCTATAATTTCTTGTGATTATGTATTTTAGAAAGTCTTTTAAGGTGTGATATTTTCTTTTTTCAAAAGAAATTTTACTAATAAAAATTCTGAAACTTTTTAATCCAATTGTCTATTCTATTGCCACTTCAGGATTTTAAACTAGAATGCATTTGCAATATGATGATATAAGTGAAAAATATGTTATAAGTAGTTGAATTTTGCCAAAAAAATTCAGTTTGGTGGTCATTTTTTTTTAATTCACCCATTTTTCCTTAGAAGATAACACTCGTAATATGGATAAGGTTGTTAGAACTTTGTTCTATATAACAATCATTTTACTCTAAAAAAACCCTTTAGAATGGGCATTAAGTCCTCTTTGATATATAGTTATAAATAAAAAAAATATGACCTGTGAATACCGAATTTTTGTAAAGTTAAATATATCCCTTTTTATTCTATCAGCTAAAATAGATCGCGTGACGTTTCGGTGCTTTGAGACATTGGGAAAATCCCGCGGATTATTGCTGATAAGAATCTTAAAGTTAAAATGTGAGTACATTGACTCAGTCAGTTAATTTGTTATTTATACTTAGCGATGTTGTCCATATTTTACGGAAAATTCCTACTTTTGGTAGTTTGTAAGTATCTTTAGGGATTCCAAATGTTTCTTTTCATATATATAAACGTTTAAAGACTTTCTGATAAGATTTATTGTTATTATTATTTTGTTCTGACCAGGCTCAGACATAGAGGCGTTTTTATTTGCTACCCGTCCCGGCCAGAAAACGACACATCATCAGTGCAGCACGATCGGTAATTCTGATTTTTACGGTTTGATGGTTCCTTCAGGTTTTGTGTATTTTGTCATCACAAGACATGTCTTATTACACGTACAATATTCCTACATATTATCTTATGTATATTTAATAGTATTATCTTAACAAATGCCTTCCGTGTCACATAGTACAATGATAGTTGTTCAAATTCAAGCGATAGTCAAAGGTTGCAATTTCACCTCTTGTAGTTGCATAATTTCTACATACATTTTTTTAGCCTGAAAGAACGAGGGCGCATTAGATCTGGATTCGGCATGAATCTGGGCCCACTTGAAAAGTGAATATTCTATTGATTTTAGCATTCTGTTGATATAGCGGTTCCTGTGATATAGAAAGGGGAAATATTTTATTGTTTTGATTTACTAAAATATGCTTTATAATATGGCTAGATGAGTCATTTGGTACAAAATGTTACATCTTTAAACACGTTTTTCTATAAATTTGCTCTGGGTCATCTCTTTGCGATTTTAAAACGTTAATTATGTGCATTTTAATTCAAAGAAATGAGCAATCATTACTAAAAAAGAAACAGAGAGAAGAGACCATTTAAAATGAACTTTTTCCAAATAAATCAAATTGTGTAAAAGCACTGCCTCATTATCGTTTTATAACAAGTATTTAGTATATACTACGAAAATAGCACAGCACTTGGTGTATGTTACTTATCCATGACGGCGAGGAATCTATTAATTTTGATTCGGTCCTTGCATGAAGCGTTTATTATTACATGTATTATCATTTTTTTAACAAACAATCAAGTCGTTAGTCAATTTGATTTTATTCATTGATTTATGAAAATTTAAAGAAAAGTTTAATTTAGATTGTGTTGCATCGAGAGCGAAAGCAATCTTCACTTTTGCATTTGCTCTTTATTTATTATTAAATGTGAAATGATACTACGATATCGTACCTGTTAAGATAAGCAGACTCAAATATTAATTTTTTGACAAGTTATTTCAAAGTGGTGTAACATTTTTATATGTTCTTAACTTTTGTAAAGTCTTTCCAAATGTGGTCAGCTGCATGACTAAACTGTCTGAATGTTTGGATATTTAAACTATGATTTATTCGTACTCACGATTCCCGTAGTTTACACACCAAACACTAGTGCCACGTCTTCTTTATTTAAAAGGAATTGAATAAAAGGGCTCGAGCCAAAGGATATTCCGACTGAAAAAATCAAATGTAAATTTTGATTGATTGGTTGTATGTTGTTTTACGTCCGATTCGAGAATTTTCACTCATAAAGAGACGCCACTATATATCGAAGAAGGGCTTCAAATTTAGTCCTTTACTCGGCACTCATGGTCATTGAGCAGTGAGGGATCTTTATTGTGCCAACGCCTACCTTGACATGGGGCCACGGTTTTTAAGGTCTCATCCGAAGGACCCGCAACTTTCACTTCAAAGTGCCGAGCGCTTGGCGAAGGAACAGTGTCTACCTTTTTTTTATCGTGTCTTTTGCATATTTTTTTTATACTCTTTACTCTTTTTTGATTCACAAGAAAAATATATTTTTCTTCAAAAGCGTACCAAAGATTTTTCGCAGTATGAAGCTTCAGAGGGGATGTACTTTTTTGTTGTAAATTTAAAAAAAATGGAAAAAAAATCTATCAACTCCTTGAATTGAGCCAACCATGTAATTGTTTTTAACAACACATTCTTTCTTCTTAAAACATTGCCGTGATGTCATGCCAATGTTCATGCAGTCTAAATATTTACCTTTGGCAGTCCGATATTAGTGAGCTGTCTGATATTAATCAATTCCTGGCTTTCTGATTATGTTGTTTTTTTTTTGCTCTGGGGTGTCAAAAACCTAGGCGGACGCTAAATATATATTTAAAAAAAGGAATGGCCTAATATACCTTCAGCATCTGCTTTATTTTCTGTGGTTGTTCAGTTCAAATCTAAGTTCAAGTCTGCATTTTCTTTTCCATTTCAAAAACATCATTCATTAAATAGTCTGTATCATAATCGGATGCATTGCTTTAAGCTCCGTGTATGTTTTAAGGAAGAAAAATTTTGTCCTCACTCTCCTTATCAACTTACTTCAAATACCTACAACAGTGTAGCTGATTCCCTAAATACGGAGTACTTTTCATTTAAGCCAGCGTTCTTGAAAGAATTGCTTCAGTGGTCATTAACACTTTTGTCTTTTGTAATAATATCGGACTGACTCAGGTAAATCAAAAGCAATGTTTTAAGTACGATATACGCCTCATACAATACTGTGTGAAAAAATATCAGACTGCTTCTGCCCTTACAGGTATTTTGGAGTTGCTCTTTTTCTCTCTCTCTGCTTCTCAGATAGTTGCAAAATCTTAAAAAAGCGTGAATAAGCTCATAATTGTTAGATGACCCAAAGCATATATTTTAGGAAATTTTGGCATGAAAAATATTTGTACAGTGTATAATGTAAGTACAAGTAATAACAATTTAGGTTTTGTTTGGTGTATCGAGTTTTACATGAACGTGTTTATACACTTTGGAGCAAAAGGTATAAGTCATGATATTCTTAAAACGTTTTCCATATCAGATGTTTAATTCTCCACTTAGCCTTTTCGAAAATTATATTGGTAGATATAAAAAGGGGAAAATAATTATCGTTCTCGTACATTTGAAATATATAATTATGCAGAAGTCTGATTCCTTACTATTCTCACTCATAATAAAATGATATGAAAAGCATGCATTCTGAATGTCTGACAAAATGTTTTTCTAGAATCGATATGCTTGAACTGTGAAAGGCCAGGATTCTATCCCGAGATGTACTGTAATGACATCCACAGGGGAGACTACTGCTTCACCAGAATCGTGCATAACTCATCGGGGGTTTTCACTGCGAAAGGGTATGTTGATATTTTTAAAATACAGTCAAACATTGCGAAAAATCATAGGGGCTTGTCTTCCGGATTGGTAAATGTAAAATAATTTTAAAATTTTTGAATCTTCTTTAAATACACTTAAAAGTTGTTAAAATAGAGATTCTGACACTTTCAGTCAAAAAAACCCCACGTTTTAAAAAGACGTTCCACACCTATATACATAAACTCTACAAGGGACGAAAGCTCTCGTCTTGGAAAAATACCCCAACCCACTTAAGCGCCTATTTCTGGACTCGAAAGCATTAATTTATTTCGTTGTCATGGTTCTGTCCCCTACAGTGTAGAGTTTATGTATATAGGTTAAAGAAGATTCAAAATGTTTAAAATTTATTTTACATTTAACAATCCGGAAGACAAGCCCCTATGCGAAAAATGCGACACTCCAAGGCTATCGGGATTCCTTTTTTTGGAGGTAATGGAAAAAAGAAAAATAACCGAAGTCAAAACACTCTATAAAAAGTCGTTCTTTCTAAAGGATGTGTTGTTTTCTTTGTAAAATAAAGTTGCCTTATGCTTATTTTTGTTATTTTTTAATTGCAATGCATCGCAAATAAAAGAGTTAATCAAATTAGCACTTAGCAGCACTTCAGGTGTACTAGAGGCTGTTTAACAAATACCTTTATGTAGTCATAATCCATGAGGAAAAGGAACACATTTAACAAAATATGACGTGAAATGTATAAGAAACGCAGCTAGGCGTTCTTAAACATCCACATATCAATAACAATGTTGCTATGATTGTAACAAGTCATGTCGTTTACTTTTCATCATTGTGAGCTATTCCAATTTTGATCAGACCAGCAAATTCTGCATTCTGTGAAGCTAATAAATACAAAAGCAGCCTAGCGAATCCTGCCTGTAGGACTGGAAACATACCAGAGGGCACAGAATGTATCGACTGCTGTAAACAGTATAACTGTGACCCTGATGACCTTTACTGCAACAAGCATATCATACAGGACATCCATATGCCATGTAAGTAGTACATGTATTTGACAAAAGTTGTCATCTATTTTAGAAAAAAAAGTTTATTGGTAGCAAACAATTTTAAGTACGTTTAGCGATTATGTTTAAGAAACTCATCTATTATTTCTTGGAATTCATTTGTTCCACGAAATGCCTTTACCTTATTCGTTTCCGTTCCAGTGTACCTTACGTCAAAGTACCTTACACAAAATATGAATATCTTCATTAATCATGAACGGTTGATAGATTTATCATGATACTTAAGGTCACATATCATCTTTACTATTTATAGACTAACACTATAATAAAATATGATGACATAATTAAGAAAGCATATAAACATCGAATTATGCCATACCCCTACGTTATTTATATTAGATTTTATATAAAAATCTTCTTCATAAATAAGATATTTCTTTATAGTTACCGTCACTACACCTAAAACCACACCCACCGTAATCACTAGTACTCTTCCAACAACACAAACAACCACACCCCCATCAACATCACCACCAAATCGAGGTACGTTACTACCTAAGAAAAAAAATTATCCCCAGCTTCAGGTACGTAATTATCATACTAACAATTTTATTTATCCCAGCTCCAAGTACATTTTTACCTTACCACAATAATCACCAGTTCCAGGTAGGTAATTTGTTAAGAAATTCACCAACGCTCGAGGTACTTAACTACCTTAAAAAATCATCTACAACTACATGTACTTACCTACTTTACCAACATCAAATCCAGCTCTATGTACGTGACAACCTTGCCAGCATTACCAAGCTCGATTTACATAACTATCTCACCAATATCACCTCAGACAGAGGTACATATTTACGTATACCGTATCAACATCACCCCTAGCTTGAGGTCTGTAACTACTTTGTCAATATCAACCCCTGCTTATGATACTTACATATGTAACTGTACCACCAAACTCAACGTAGTTCTTTCACAGTATCCCCAACTGTTGTAGAACCTATCGCATTTGTTAGTGTTTTTCAAAGACTTTAACAGTTGACTTCTGAATGTAATGAGTTACTTACTCTTCATTAGGAGGAATGTGCCAAGTGTGTGTGGAGGGAAATGGACAGAGTTGTGGACCTGCAAGCAACCATTATTGTAATAATGGTGAAAATTACTGCATGAATACAGTAATTTCAGACCCAAGAGCTGGGAAGATTGTTGTGAAAAAGTAAGGTTTACCATTAAAGCTCTATGCTTTTTAAATTATGAATGTCTTCTACTCGGCAGATTTCATCTTAATTTTGTTGTACATTTTATGAACTTATATCACTGTTCTTCGATGCATTAGATATGAGTAGCAAAAATCTAGGCAATCCTGGAATTCACAAGTCTAAAAATAGCGTTTTAAATCACAACTATATAAAAATCAATGTAGATAAAACTCTTCTGAGAAAAGGATAACAAATAGGGAGATGCTAATCAATCAGAATCTTAAGATTTGATAACTTGGTTATTATTTACACTTTCTTCAAATGGCTTTCCCAATAATATTTCTACTGTCTTTGGAAAAAGAAGTGCTTCTCCAGCCCACTAATTTTTATATATAAAAATTATTTGTATGTACCTTTCCTTTTAATCCTGTCTCAAAGATGTGCAGATGAAGTGGAATGCAAATGGAACTATTGGGTGGACACTCTTGGTGATCCTAAATGCAGCAATGTGACAGGACCACAAGAGGACAACGCTTGTAACTATTGTTGTGATAATTCAGATGACAGTGTGCCATGTAACCAGAACCCCATACCCATACATCTCTCAACATTCGATAAACCCCAAGAAGGTAATTATGTGTGTATTCCCAACAGTTTAAAATTTTGTGAAACCCATAATTGTTTAAATGTGATATTTTTACATGGTGGTTTGTTTGACAAGGAAGATTTTATATGATGATACTCTTTATCTCAGTGAAGCAGTGTATCACGGGGAATTCCAACAGCCATTTTCAATTGGAAACGTGTCCTCCAGCTTCATCGTATTGTTTGAATGAAGTAAGATACGACACAACTGCCAAACACCCAGAAGGCCTTGTCATCAAACGGTAAATTTGGCTCTCTTGAATTGGAAGTTAGATATTCAAGAAATTTTTTTTGAGGGATTGTTTTTCAACATTTCGTTTGATATCAAGGTGCGCTTTGGAAGCAGAATGTAAGGGGCTTTGGTGGGAAAAGACTAGAAAACGACAAGAATGTCTGACCCAGAACTTCACCGGAATACCGGACCAAAACATTGTCTGTACCTTCTGTTGTGTGTCTGAGAACAATGGAGCGTGTAACGGAGCCTCGGTTCCAGACCAGATTGCCCTATTTACACCTGTTACCACCACCAGTAATGGTTTTCTCTTTTTCTGTAGGCTGAACAATTTTATTAATTGGAGTGAAGTATAAATATGGATGCATGGTCATTTCAAGAAATGACTAGAAAAGCTGTTGACTTCGTCCAACCAATAGCTTGATATTCAGATAAAACACTTTACTGGAAATATTGTTGGAGTAAATAACCTAAAATAGTAAATTGTCTACAGAAAAACGCTGATGTTATAAAATTTGAAATAGAACTGTTGCTATATCCAAGTCAAACATGTATATTTTTAATAGAACACATTTATTTCTAATGTAAAAAAAGATTATTTTGATGATATGAAATGTTATGAAAAGACAATAAAAACTGTTTAAAAATATGAATTTACACGAAAGAAAAAGCATTTTGCCATTTTGAGGTCCGTGTTTGCTCGACTCCAAATTTGTTTCGTTTTATTGGACTTTCGAGATTGAATACTGTTCGTTATATTCTTATTTCATGCAAACTTCATTTTTAAGGTATCCCAGCAACAACGACAACAACTAGACCGACAACAACGAGTACTGTACAAACCACGGTACACGACCACGGACACCATAACACACACAAACATACAGACCACGGTCATCACCACACGGTTACAACAACCACAAGCGCCACCACAACTACCACATTGCCAACCACAACTACCACATTGCCAAACACAACTACCACATTGCCAACCACGACTACCACTCCAACAACTACCACCACACCAGCTCTGATCACGTGTCCCGGTGAGTAGTACTAATACATTACCATTAAAGAAGCTATGTATAGACAGAGAATCATTTTACAATTAAGTTTCATTTTGAGGTCCATTTTATCTTTTCGCCCTACAGGAAACAGTTCAGTTGTATGTGAAGACGATCCTAAAGCACACTGCGACTCTCTGGCGTCATTCGGATTATGTACACATCTGCAGTACAACCCAGATAGTGAAGATATCAAATTCTGTCCTAGAACTTGTAACCTGTGTGATAAATGTAAGTAATACTCACTATTGATGCACTGTTACTAAATAAATCGAGCGATAATTATTACAAAATTTGTCGTCGAGATGATGCGACCATACTACCGAAGGACGAAAAACTTTGTCACAATTTTCTGCAAATATGAATTACTATAGTATCTGATTTTCCTCTTAGACTGTGACTATGTACTCAGAACGACTTTACCTCCTCCAACAACTCCTCCTCCAAGTAAGTCATTGATAACTTTAATTATTACAAGGATTCTTTCTTTCTTTCTTTTTTTAACTATATATGGACATTCCATATTTACTGAAACAAACATTCTAACATTGCGTTTAAATCGTTAGTTATCTGATATATATCCGTAACAATCGATAATTTATGTATGTAGAAATGAACACAGCAAATGGACAGAGTTGTATGTGCTTCATAAAGTCTTGTGACAAACAGTACAAATGAATATTGAAAGTATGTACTCCTACACTGTACACAGTATTTTTTTTAAACAAATAATATTTCGGCCTTATGAAAAGAGGGACGCGCATATTCAAAGAAGAAACAGAAGAGAGAAAAAACTGTAAAAGTAGGTTTTTCAAAATTTATAGCTTGTAAACAAGAACACTTTCTTTTATTTGTTTGCATGTGTTGATTTCTGTTTTTGAATTGAAATTCACTCGCGTCTGGGCGTTCATTTAACAGTATACTAGTATTTCAATTCTAAATGAAGCTTATTAGCGAAAACGCTTCTAATATTTGTCATTATACATTATGCAATTGTTTCTTTAGAAAAAAAATATACAACATATATATTTTAATCTCAGATAAAACAACAACAAAGGACATAACAACATCAACTGCAATGACTTCTACAATATCACGTAGAACATCAACAGAAACAACAACAACAACAAATTCTCCAACACCGACAACAACTACAACAACAAATTCTCCAACACCAAGAACAACAACAACCAAACTGCCTTCTACGGCCCAATTAGCAACAATTATAATATCTTCTGTGTTGTCACAGAAAACAACAACAACTAAAACAGCAGTTACTACAATGAAATCAACAACAACAACCACGCTGCCAACAACTACCAGTCTGCCGCCAGCTCGTAAGACATTTATGGCAAAAGTTTTATTGGCTGTGAACTATTTTAAAAGTTGATGTTAATTGATTTGACATAAAAAGAACAATTTTTTTTGTTGAAAAACAGACTTTATAGGACTTGAGAAAATTTATATCAATTGATTTGTGCATTCTTATTAACTATGTCGTAGGAAATTAAACTTAGTTTTAAGTAAAATAATGTTCATTAGTCACTCAGACACGTTTATAGTCTCACAGAAGCTTCATTTCAAAAAACATTGAAACAAAGGGATATTATGAAAAAATAAAAAAATCATCCTTTTATTTTAAAATTTTAATATTAGAAGTGTTTAAAGATTTTAATATTTTATATATATATATATATATATATATATATATATATATATATATATATATATATATATATATATATATATATATATATATTGACTATATATAACCCAAACCATTTAGTACACTATAAAATCTATGATAAATTGTAAATAATTACAGGTGAATGCTACGTTTGTACCGGGCCTGTTTCAATATGTGAAAATTTGTACAACTCACATAGATGTTCGTCCGACAAACCCTTCTGCATCAATGACGTCACCAACAATGCAGACGGTACCAGAACTGTAAATAGAAAGTAAGAAAAACAATTAATCAATGAATTTTTATTGAATTAATTCATAAAGTCGAAATCTTAAATTTTTGACGAATCATCAAGGAGCACGTGGCGGGTGTGACCGATCGGCAGGGGATGCTTACTCCTCCATGGCACCTGATCCCTACCTCTGTTGTTTTTAGAGGTCCGTGTTTACTCTGCTCCTGATTTATATTTTTCCATGGCTTTTGAGCTTGATATGTTCGTTATCTCCTATTTGATTGTTCTCTTTTGTTCGTTAGATGTGCATCTAAGACAGAGTGTATACAAAGCTGGTGGCTTGGTTCATCTGGTCGCTCGGAGTGCGCGGGATATGACCCCACAGCTCTTGTTCTGCAACAGTTTACGTGCTCCTATTGCTGCACAACACCGCTGTGTAACAAGAACTTAGTTCCAAGCGATCTCTACACCCAGTGAAATAGCTTTATATCTTTGTATTTGGAATCGGGTTAATAAAAAATTAAAAGTTTGTTCGTCCTAGTTTCATGTGTTCTTTTTCTGTATGAAGTATGAATGTGGAATACATTTTTGGTAGAATTAAAATATAATATATCAAATGACCTTAGTTTTTTCATTACCAAATTTACATTTTAAACACAACCAAGAAAACCCCGAATACTCATTGTTTGGTATTAAGTGAAAAATCATGGTAAATGTGAACTGTTTGTTATAATTACTACATGTATATCAGTGTGTATATATCTTGGCAAAACTGGCCCATATTCATCATATTGATTGTAGCATATACGTTCAACTGTTTCTTTCTGCTGAATAATTTTATTCATATTGTCCAACGTAATACACTTGTTCTACAAATTAGTCGTGATTCCTAAATCGTATATTTTTTAAAATAACTGTTTTGAAACTGAATCTGTAAATAGGTGCAAGAATTCCTTGTATATCTCTGTAGAAAGAAGACAGTGTAAAGTGTGTGGTGATGGCACCAGCAAAAGCCCTTGTGATACCAGATCCATATTTCTAGGAGCCTCTGTTTCGTGTCCTGTGGGCAAGGATTTTTGTATGACGGACATCGTTCACGACAAAAACAACAACGAAATGATCTTCAAACGGTATGTTGATATTTATGAAAGTAACAAGAGCGGACTCAGAGAGTTCACGTCTTTACTACCATTCTATCTTTACTTTCAACGAAATTAGAAGGAAATAATGATTTTTTCCTATTGATTATTTTTCTTTTTCTCATTCAAATTTGTTGCAAAACATCTCAAAAAAGTTGAGAATTTTTATGACGGAAATAAATTTTTTTCTTTTTTTCAGGATGTGGATCTCGATTTTTTTTTTGAGGGGGTGGGGGTGGGGTTGAAGGGGGGTGTTGGAACTTATATTTATATCTGCACAGTGCAAACTAGAAAATGACAACGCTATCCTTAGTATATTTACCCCATAATATCGATTACTATTAAGAGAGGCAAGTATTGTCGGAGGGAATTTTAGTTGAATATCTTTAAGTCAAAAACTCAAAACAAGTAAATAAATGACTAAAATTCCAAGATACACATCCTTTACAACAACAAAATCAAAGCAAATATTTTCTTCCATGCACTAGAAGCCACTGTATCCTTATACATGTATTTCATTGAAATCGGTTAAAACTAGAGGTACTGTGAGTATTGAGCCCACAGGATGATACCTCTGCTCCCATATGAGTATAGGGGCAAAGTCCATGCTTTGCTATGGGAAATCCCAGATATCTGTTTTTCCAAATGTAAAACAGGAGGGGCACAATGGCATATGAAATAAAGATTCTTTGAAAATATCATTAAAATGTATTAGGTGGTACAGAAGGAGTGGATAAGAGGTGGGTTCCCCCAAAATACTTTAGAAAGAGTGGCAGTGTCCATGTTATGGGAAACCCAAACTATCTGTCAGATCAAAACGTGAAGTAGGAGGTCACAATGGCACTATGTAAATGAAGATTGTCTGAAAATCTCATTAAAGTTTATTCAGTGGTGTAAGAGAAGTTGCGGATAAGAGATGGCTTCCCCAAAGTACTAGTGGACAGTTGGACAGACGGAGGGACACCGGTACCCCCATTACTATAATTATACTCCCTACTTTTCAAGCGGGGGTATATTAAACTCTGTATCAAAATGTTCTAGAAATCATTACATCCATGATTATTTAATACGAACAAAGTCCTTTTTCATCAGCTTTTCCTTACCAAAGATTAAATCGATCAGCACCTTTCATTATCACAATTCCTTGAATCGTTTCTATTCGTTCTGTTTGTATATTAAGAATTAATGTATGAAAAATGTTATTTATACCCCCGCTTAAAAAGCGGGAGTGTATAGTGATGGGGTGTCTGTCCGTCTAGCTGTATGCCCGTCCATCCGTCCGTTACGCTTTGGGGTACACATCTCTTATCCGCAACTCCTCTTATACCACTGAATAAAATTTAATGGGACTTTCACAGAATTTTTGCTACATAGTGCCATTGTGCACCTTCTTTTTTACATCTTAATCGGATACATATTTTGGGTTTCCCATAGCAAATTATGGATACTGCCATTCTTTTATAAAATCGGAGTTACCCACCTCTTATCTGCAACTGCTTTTATACCACTGAATAAAATTTAATGATTCTTTCACAGAATCTTTATTTACACAGTGCAATTGCGCACCTCCTACTTCATGTTTTGATCGGACTCATATTTGGGATCTCCCGTAGCGAAAAGGACTTTGTCGTTATGCTCATATGGGAGAGGGGATTTCAATTTATGAGTGCAGTGCTCATTGTACCACTGGTTACTTCTGTAATCATTATATTTACTGGCTGATATGAAATGATATATATATACCGTATTAGATAAGTCTAAATGCAAAACAAGAACGCTTTGATTTACCATGCCTTTATTTTTTTATGTATCAGAAAGAAACATGCTCGTAAAAATCGGTGTATCTTAGTGATATATTCAAATGTATATATATATATATATATATATATATATATATATATATATATATATATATATATATATATATATATATAAGGGATGGCAATTTGTAACCGGTTGACCGATTAATCGGTCGCAACGATGGTAATCGGTTAGGAAACCTCTAATCGGTTAGTCGGAAAAAATGAAAATATGTGTAAATATCCTTAAAATTCAATTTGCAATTAAAAAAAAAAATTATGAATGCTGATAAGAGTTTTATCATATATATTATTTATAGCGTTTTTTACATGTATTTAGATATAATTTATTAGGACTCTTCGGACGGAGGTGTTGGGGTAATTGGTCAATTTGTGAAGCGCTAATTGCTGTTTAAACATCAAGCCGTTACCCAGCTTGTCTTCTGTTTCTTTAATGATAATAATTAAATCACCGTTGAGTATTGTGAACTGGTTACATTGTATCTTTAGCAGTTATCTGCCAATTTATATTTTTATGCAAACATTGTAAATTAAGTAATAATTTAAAAAGGTTTGTTCCTGAACTTTTGAGCAGATTTTTGTCTTGACCTCTACTTAAAAAAAATCTGCGTAATGTTTTAGTTCTTATAACAAATTTGGATTCTACAATGCAAAATAAACTATATTCATTTAAAACCCCATAATTTAATTGAGGTATGCGTGTAGATTCTAAAAATATATTTGAAAAAAAAATTCCCAATACTTTTGAAAGCAGGATCCAACCTCCTTAAACTTTGTTTCTGTTTATGGTGATAATGCAGAATGACCGTATGTAATGTTTGGGGGTCGTCAGAAGAAATTAATATACTTGATGCATGTATCTCATGTATTTTTTATGGTTTTCCTTTAGAAATTGAATTAAAATACGTAAAATAAACAGATCAAGCATAAACAGAATATTACTAATGCCGTTTTTCTTTTCTTTTTTTTATTTATATAATAATTTATTAGGGGATATGAATAGAATTATTTTTTAAAAAAAATGTCCGGAAAAGAGCATTTTGTTACGATTAACCGGTTAATCGGTCGGAACCTCTTACGGTTAACCGATTGGCAATTCTGTATTCGATTGCCATCCCTAATATATATATATATATATATATATATATATATATATATATATATATATATATATATATATATATATATATATATATATATATATGCACACTTGTAAGAGAAAGCATTTCATGTTCACCTCGTGTACTTTTTTCTAGCTGTGTTGATGAACAGACTTGTAGGAACGAGTGGTTGTCTCAGACCTCGGATCAGGACCATTGCACGGGTTATCCTAATGTCCCAGTCAGTGGCGCTTTCTCCTGTCACTTCTGTTGCACGTCCGATTCCTGCAACAGTGGTCTATTACCTGACAGTGCGACATTCTATGCGAAAGCAAGATATAGATAATCCACGCATGGTGTTTAAACTTTTGTTTCACATGTTCTTCCACCATTTTTGTCTGTATACCTGTACTGAAAGCTAATAAATTTACAACTTTTATTCAGGCCACTCTTCTGCGAAATTGATAGGCAAATGTTCACTTGCATCATTTGCAGTGTTACCTAAACAATAAAATGTTTTTCTCTTTTGTGTTTTACGGGATATGGCTATTGCAACTTTACAGAAAAAAAACATAACCCCGTGTGTTATGTAATTTTCTTTAGTAAGTGCAAGAGTTATATCCCTTATCACAAAAACAAGGACATTTTATTGTTTATAACTTAATTAAATTATATACGATAATTTACCCTAAATGATTACTATTATTTAAAATTTAACGCCAATGGTTGTGGAGATAAAAAAACAACGGTACTGCACGGACTGAGTTACAAGTAAGTATTTCAATTGTTTCTTTACTCCGGAAAATTCGACAACTGGGTAATCCTATGAACTATTTCAATTGTATTTCTTTAATATTCGAGCTTCATTGTTGTTGGTTTTTTTTTTTTTTTTTTTTTTTTTTTTTTTTTTTTTTTTTAAATTTGGTTGAGTTTTGAGTCTTGTCATAAACACAGGAAATACTCGGATTTTATGGTTTAAGGTTAAATACACTAACATTTTTTTTCTTTCAAAATCTAAACATCTAATAAATAGTTATCTTTCTAAGTAAAGGAGTGACAATCGTTTAGTAAAATAACGTTGTTTGACCAAACAATATGATTTGGTGAAAAGTTGGAAAATGTAACTTTACAGTTCAATAAAATGTTTGAAAAGTCCTAGAAATGTATGAAGTTTTACTACCGTGAAGGTTCTGGGAACATTTTCAAGAGTCTATAACATTTTACACAAACTTAATATCCTTATTTTTATTACATTTGAATTGAAAGAAATTTTGAAAAAATTGCAACGTAACTCTTCTGTGTTGGAGATAAGAAAATTTGTGGTATGTACAGTGTATTTTTAAAAATTCAAGTGGAAATTTTGTTTTGTTTTTTTTTTTAAAGTGGACTGATGTAAATTCAAACAAGGGGGGGGGATATTTTTTTCTCATTTTTGTCTTCTTCAAGAGTCTTCAACATACCTTCTAGTTAAAAGGTGAAAAAACATACTAGACCATTAATTTTTTTGCACTCTCCCGATTCAGATTTTAAAAAAGATGGCTTGGTAGGTAGGTTGGAAATCCCCCCCCCCCCAGAAAATGTTAATATTGATGCTGAATTTTTCAAAGTATACTGTATACAAGGAAATTTTCGCCCCCGTTTTATTTTCGCTTCTTTCTCCCTACTCACATGTGGGCGAATTTAAAACGGGGCGAATTGAAAGAACACAGTAAAATTTGCGACTGGGCGAATTTAAAACGGGGCAAAGTTGTTTGCACGTGTGATAGGGCGATGATAACCCATTCTATATATAAAGGGCGCGTCACAAGCTAACATTGAATGTGGGTAGTACATGACCTGTGTGTACACATTGATAATAACCCTTTATACAGTATTAAAATTAAAGGTATTATTAAATTAAAATAATTGTTGACGGGATGAGACAATTCCGGAATGAATAAATGAATAATACAAAAATAGTTTCCTGGGGTTAAAAAAGTTCTAAGTCGGTTCATTTTTAGCCAGTCGGTCGAGATAGGGAAAAAAACCAATTTGTTAAAGATGGCCTTGGTAAATTTTTTTCTCATCCTTGGAACACGTAGCAGACTTAGGAATTGTTTCTTTTGACTCTTATTGTGTATATATTGCTATCAGTATTGACTAGAATTTCTTGAATGCGAGAAAGTTAGATTACAAGGTGAAGGTTATCTATACGTATTAGAAATATTCTGCAGATCACTGATAAGAGCTAGCTAGAGAATAACATCGTCAAAGACTTTCTATAGTATTATTACATACCATTAGTAAAGAATGATGTTATTATTTAATGGACAATTTTTACTCTTCTTTATTTGTAAGTTTCTGTCACAATCGTGTTTTGTAAAGTATTAAGTTTTGATTATATATATATATATATATATATATATATATATATATATATATATATATATATATATATATATATATATATATATATATATATATATATATATATATATATATATAAATGTATGTATGTAATATCCTATATTACTATTTTGATTGTAGGTTCACAAACTGAGGCTTTTCTATTTGCAACTCGGCCCCATCCTACCCATGTATCACACGGCTGCTCCACTGTCCGTAAGATACATGCAAACTGTAGCTGATCATTTTAGCACTTACATATTTTTTTCTTTATATGTATATTTTTTACATTCTTTTTCCTAATGGTTTCGTCCGAATCCAATATAATTTTTGATACACAGGTAGAATACATGATTCCATATGTCGGTGTTTGATTTTCATAATTCTTGTTATTGATTATTTTTTTTTTAATTTTGATGAATGGTGTCGTAATTGTTACTATAAATCGAAATTTCTTTGACTTTAGGTCACCTTGGACACTCAGGTGACTTATTGCTATCCGTTTTTGTCTGCCATCGTCTGTTGAGCGTTAACATTTAAATATTTTCAGCTTCTTCTCTGAAACCGCTGAACCAATTTCGACCATTTTTGTCATATAGCATCTATGGGTGAAGGGAAACAAAAATTGTGAATTTCATGGTCTCTGTCCCCCTGGGGCCTGAGGGATGAGGCAAAAACCATCAAAATTTATGCAAACTAGAAAAATCATTTTCTTTACTCCCGGACATCAAACAGTCAAACTATTGACATGATTGTATTAAGCCCTCCAAGATTTTAAATTCATGGCCCAGGGTTAGGGGTTCTGGTGAAAGGGCGGGGCTACATAGATCATATAGTGAAAGTGCATTATTTCTCTGAAACTCTTCTATCGTATCATAACATACCATTAGTAAATCTAGAGAAACAAAGTGCATGGTTATGATGAGCAAGAGTGCCTCTTCCAAAATTTGAATTTCATGGCCCCTGGATCAGGGGTTCCGGTATTAGGGCGGGGCTCTATTGATTTTTAGTTAAAATGCATCAATTCTTTGAAAATCTTCTCTGATCCTGGGTATTATGTAAAGAAACTAAGTGCTTGGTTATGATGAGCAAGAGTGCCTCTTCCAAAATTGTGTATTTTATGCCCCTGGGTCAGGGGTTCTGTTATTAGGACGGGGCTCTATCGATTACATGTATAAAGTGAAATTGGATTAATTCTTTGAAAATATTCTTTTCTGTCCCTGGGTTTAATGTAAACAAACAAAGTGCATGGTTATGATAAGCAAGGATGCTTCTTCCGAAGTTCTGAAATTCATGGCACCAGGGTCGGGTGAGGGTGGGGGGGGGGGGCTCTATTGATTATAGAGTGAAAATGCATAATTTCTTTTTCTGCTCTTGGTTAAAAAGTACATATAAAGGAACTAAGAAACTAAGTGTATACCTATGACTAACAAGGGTGCTTCTTCCAGAATTGTGATTTTCGTGGCTTCTTTGTCACATGTTCTGGTGTTAGGGTGGGGCTCTATCGAAAAGATAGTAAAAATGCATTAATACTATCAAATAATCTTGTCTGATCCTGAGTATTGAGCAGATAAACAAAGTGCATAGTTATGATGAGCAAAGGTGCTTTTTCCACAATTTTTAAAACATGGTCATAGGGTCAGGTGTTTTGGGTTTTTTAAGGGGGTGGGGTGGGGTGGAAGAGGGGGCTCTATTTATAATATATTGAAAATGTGTTAACTATTTCATTTGAAAATCTTCTCCTAAGTGCACATGATGAGCGAGGGTACCTCTTCCAAATTTTCGAATTTCATGACCGTGGGTCAGGGGTTCTGGTGTTAGGGTGGGCTGAGTTGAATCTATAGTGAAATGCATTATTTCTTTGAAAATCGTCTCTGCTCCTAGGCTTCTCCGAGGCAAGCAGAGTGAAAATTTTAATAAGCAAAGGGTATTTTTACCAGATTTTTGAGATTGAGATCAAAAGTGAGCTTGTCTAAGTCTTATGGCACCGGGGCCTGGACCATTGGGTTAAATGCTGGCTATGGATCTATTAATTTGTTTTCTACTGAGAGAAGTCATTCCCCTTTGCCATTCACTTTTGATAATTAATCACTGTAAATAATGTATTTGAAAGTTAATACATAAGAGAATTATACAAGAATTTTTACTGTACAATACAGAAAGTACTTTTAAATGATCATGTACACTTGTAATTAATAGATGAATAAAAACGAGACAAAATAACTTATCTTATTAGATATTCTTTAAAGACTAAGAGAGGCCAATGTGAGGGTATTGATATGAGGTTAAAAATATTAATGAAGGACTATTGTTTTGATAATAGTTGCATGGTGATAGTGATAAATGGGGGCAAGTAGAACTTACTTTATGAATTGCTACTGAGTACTAGACACATTATTTCGTTGATCCTGATCATCCTATTTTTCTTGCTTTTGGGCAACTAAGCTCCATCTATCAATTTATTTTATTCCTCTATGGTGACTCAGGTGACCGTAAAGGCCCCTGGGCCTCTTGTTTCCAAAAGTATTTTCTTTTACAATTTAAAAACTTGTTTCACAAAGAGACTTAGCCCAAAAAAATCATTATTATTCTATTTATTGCTCTTGCCATAGTTTCAAGACCAAGTGCTATTTTTCTCTTCCTTTGAACTACCTTTAAATGACAAATATAGGGCAAAAGGATGGTAAAAAATATAAAAAATAAAAAAGTTTAATTTATACCTAAAATAATCTTCAAAATGTCCAACAAGAACAAATTAATCTGATATAAAATGAAAATAAATAGTTCAGCATAAATTTCCGTAATTGACATAATTGTCCAGAAATTATTCATAGGTTTCAATATCAAAAAGAGGTCGTTGACCGATAGGTACATGTACTTTAAAGAACATTCGACTCTCATGTAATGTGATCAAACTAAATTTTCATAACCATCTAATTTCTTCTTGGCAGATACAACACATGATATTTCTGATCTAG